TGTCTACACCAAAATAAGTCTAAAATATTTGTCCATACATTTATTCTCTCAATTTAACAACTTGTAATGGTGTAAAATAATTAAACGAGAGCTGTCTACACCAAAATAAGTCTTAAATATTTGTCCGCACATTTATTCTCTCAATTTTAACAACATGTAATTGTGGGAATTAATCAAACGAGAGATGTCTACACCAAAATAAGTCTAAAATATTTGTGCGCACATTTATTCTTTCAATTTAACAACCTGTAATTGTGGGAATTAATCAAACGTGAGTTGTTTACATCAAACTAAGTATTAAATATTTGTTGAGACATTTATTCTCTCAATTTAACAACTTGTAATGGTGTAAAATAATTAAACGAGAGTTGTCTACACCAAAATTAATCTCAAATATTTGTCCACACATTTATTGTCACAATTTAACCACTTGTTAATAGTGGAAATTACTTAAATGCGACTTGTTTAATCAGTTGACATCAATGCAACTTACCCGCAGACAGTGCACAACAGAGTATGGTATCATTATTGAGCAATTATAAACAGGAACGTGTCTTGGCATTAGGGTTAGGTCAGGTATGGGCAACGGAATTATTAACAGGAACGTGTCTTGGCATTAGGGTTAGGGTCAGGTCAGGTATGGGCAACGCAAATGGCAAACACCCAATTGGCAAGATGTACACTAACGGGTTATGGCATGCATATAGTTTACACAAGTAAAAACACAAAATTGGCAATTTTTTGGACAATTGTAACTCAATAATAGAAATATGTTGTATTTCTATATATATACACACTATATAGTCTTATCAAATGCAAACACATCCAGTCAATCCATTGTGGTCTTGTGGGTCAGTTCTCTACATAGTGATCAGGAGGACCTGGGTTCAATTCCCTTGCCTGCCCATCTTTTTCTCGCAAACACCATTTGGAAAGAAAGCTAAATATGACAACAAATTATTTAATTTGCATGACTACCCACATAGCTCAGTTGATTTGTACTATTTCAGCAATGTGAGCAATGTGAGCGATCGCTGGTTCGAATCCAGTATGTTTAGTTAGATTTTTGAATGCTAGTGAAGACAGTGCTCCTATAAATAGGACTTAAATCCTAACTCCTGTGTGAAGACACTCGTGGTACAGTGGACAAGACAGTGCGCTGGGAACTCAAAGATCGCAAGTTTGAATCATGGATTGGACACTCTACAAAAGACATGAATGACGTTAAAAACATAAACAGCGGATTCAAAAACTCAAGTCAGGAAAACAGAACACAAGAATACTACCCCACATCGAAGCCAGTCGATGTCGTCGAAGAACGAACACAGTTGACAGCTGTAGGTCACGTGCAACAACAGACACGAGGAGCATGGCTGCTCTCCAAATGGGTCCCTTCTTTTGTATTGACCCCCTAAGGATTGCTAATCCTCCTTTCTAACTCTTCCCCCAAAAATAATATATCGCCCCTTTTAAAATGTATTGACCCACAAATTAATGAATATTCATGAGCACAGAAACTGCTACGTCATGAATAAATTAGCATAATTTTAAAAAAATTTGCATAAAGTGTAGGTACTCCTTCTGGAGCTCTGCCTTGTTTCCTTATATAACCATGCATAGCAATTAACAATTCTGGTAAGAGTTCCTTAAGACCCCCTCACCCATAACTTTAATCCTAACCTTGCCCCCCCCCAATTTAATTGTATGTACTCCTTTGCAGGCTGGGGAGTTACGGTTAGGGTTTAGGTTAGGGTGAGGAGGCCTTAAGGAACTCTTTCCGCAATTCTATTCGCAAAATATCCAAACATGTCTAAAGACTTTCATGAAACTTGTATTCAGCAAGCAAGCATCGTCTGAAAATACAATCATGAAGCCAAATCACAAAGCCAAAGAAAATGGCTAATGTCATATATTTTATTTTTAATATCCTAGTTTTGTTGCATGCTTGTTTAAATTCAAGCAAATTATATTATTTTCATACTATGCACACACACTTGTTGAAGTGACCACAATAGAATTCAATGATAATTTGAATGTCAGTGGTCTAGAGGCTCGATTGTCTTAGAAACACACACAAAACTTACTCATAATAACGGTTGCCACACCGGCGGTCTTTCGAAGATTTCCCTTCACCAATCCATTTTGCACGGAAGGTTTCCTCCTTTTGAAAGTAAACTTTTTTAACCATCTTGCAGATGGCTCACATGTGCAAACCGAGCGAATGACAAAGTTTTGACGAGTCGCGGTTCTTACAATGCATTGTGGGACAAAAGGATTCCCTGACTTCTTTAAAGAATTGGTGTCTGATTAATTTATATTATCGGAGTAATTGGGATTATAATGCTACTATTTCATGATAGTTAATAAAATCATATGAATGAGGCTAATCAGTAGAACAAGTATATAGCAGCAAACATTTGAATACAAACAATTAAATTGCTGTGTACGAGGACGGTGGCTGGGGTTAAAGGTTTCATATCCGGCGTGTCAGAAAATGGCGAATCGCACGGTGAAAGATGCTCATAGTGTGAAGGGGACGAATCCACAATATTTAGTGGAAAAGATAATCAGATCACGAATATATGAGTGTAGATACTGGAAGGAAGAATGTTTTGCTCTAAGTGGTGAGTTTATATTACCGTCGTTTATCAGAAAGTGACTTCACTTATCGTTATTATGGTTGGGACAAGATATACACACAAACATTACAATAAATTACATTGTATTGTTGTGCTCGGCTTTGAAGTTTTGAGGATGATGGCCTGTATCGCTGCTTCGCCGGGTCACAAAAATACGGATATGGAAATTGTATCAACTTTCACTGACTAAAAATATATTGTTGTTTGCCTTTCAATATCACAGCGAGTTGATGTCCAATTATAATTATAATTTATTACAGTAACAGTGACCTGGAGTTGTATACGTACATGCAACGTTAGGAAGAGGGTGCTTGGCTGGAGTGATTTCTAGACATCTCGACCCAACAATTTCTCGACCCAAGACACTTCGACCCAAATTGGACATCTCGACCCAGACACCCTGGGCAGCTTGACCCACCGCATCGACCCGACCCTATCTAAGTGTGGCGGCGCGAACCTCTATCTAGTTCAACGTTGATAATGTTGCCCTTCGAAAAAATATAAAATTCTCGCGATCCTGTGTATCATGCTGTATATGAATGCTGTGTTTGAATGAACGACATCTTTGTTACGTGTCAATATTAGTGGCAACACATTTCGGTGTCACCTCCTTGAAGAATAACTTATCACCCATTAAGCGCAATGGATCAATCCAAAAATTACGTCACTTTCAGGGGTCGCATGCTGTGAAATGAACAGCAAAAGCAGCAAAAAATAATAAATCAGTGAAACAAACACTGTGGTCCACGCGCACTGGGAAAAGTACGACGCTATTGTGATTGGGTCAAGGCGGCGGGTCGTCTGAAATAGGTGGGTCGAGATGTCTAGGGGTCCTGGGTCGAGTTGTCCAATGAAAAATGGGTTGAGATGTCCAGCACCCGCTGGAGTAATTTTTTCTTGCATATATGTTATTCAAATGTGCCTGGCTTCTGACTCAGGGACTTTGAAGCTTCTGATGCGACTGTTTGAGCACTGTGAACACTTGTTTTTCTGCCATTGACGGTGGTTTTCCAACGCAACCAACACCCACCCCATCGCTAAAAACCTCAAAACTGTGAAAGACGAGCAATATGTTTCTGTTGCCAGTCGCTAATGTACTTACGATACCTAGTATGTGCGTTATTGATTAGATATATTACTGGAAAGAGACAGCTATTTTATATCATTTGACATGTCAAAAACACTGTGAAATGTAGAAAGACCAATGGTACTCTAACGTTCAAGTATGGAAAGTTGAATTTTTTCCATGCCTTTTCCACGCTACATTGTATTGAACAAATATTTATATTTACAAATCACATTTTTTTTATTTTCATTTTGTATTGATTTGTATTACTACATTCTGTTCTCAGCCGAACTTCTTGTGGACAAGGCGATGGCGCTCACTTTTGTTGGAGGAATTTATGGAGGCAATGTCAAACCAACGCCATTCCTGTGTTTAACTCTTAAAATGCTGCAGATTCAGCCAGAAAAAGATATTATCGTAGAATTTATTAGAAATGAAGACTTTAAGTAAGTTTATGTTAAAATTACTATTTTCAATATAAATGTAAAAAATAAAAATAACACCTACATCATTTTTGTTTTTCAATGGCCTTACTAGTCTGAGGAAAAGCTCACCATACAGAAAACAGAAAAAAAAAACTAACATTGATGGACGTTCACTGGCACAAACAATATGCGTAGTAGATGCTGTGAACATCATCCCATGAATTCATTTACATCACGAAAGTGTTTTGCCGCAAGAGAGCAATTGAGAGTACAGACTATATTTGCCAGGCAGCTACTTTGCTGTTGTGGTCAGCATATTTTCTTTCAGGTATTTAAAACTGTATCTATTTGTGTGACACATGAATGACACCCAGAGGTAATCAATGACATTGACAATGAAATATTGTCTATACACTAATTACCTGGAAGCCATATTCTCTTATAAATGAGGTGTTCAATTTGGATCAACGATAGAATGTGGTTCATTGAACTGTAATTCTATTTCTAAATACAGCATGAAACAATGTGAATTCTTGTGAAAGGTAGGATTGGACATCCTATTGTTTTCTCACCCCACCCAAAAAAGTGAAATTTTGTTGCATGTACTGTCGTATTTCTGAAAAAAAAAATGCTTCCAGTTAGTACATGTACAGGATAGTTGCAACAATAAATATTTAGCCAACTGCCTTTTAAAGTTGTCTGGTACTACATGTACATATACCAGTTGGTGGTCAAATTTTTGGCAATTTATTCCAGTATGGCTGCTTGGTGGCCATTTTCTCTAGAAACTGGATTTCATTCTTGGCTATTTAAACATCAGGAATTCATCATTAACTGATTTGTGTCAAATTGCACATAAACTTTTGTACTGGACAATAACTGTGTCTTTTTGCCACCCTAATAGACTTTTTTTACATGTTTGTTCATTCATTATAGATATGTCAGATGTCTTGGAGCACTTTACATGAGACTAGTCGGCAATGCATTAGACTGTTTTAAGTATCTTGAACCACTTTACAATGACTACAGAAAAATTAAAATCATGAATCGTTCTGGAAGTAAGTACATGTACAACGTCATAACAACCACTATGTTAACATGGAATGGAACTGGTTTAGTAACACATAAAACGTTGTCAATAGCAGCAAGAGGATCTATTGTTTTATGAATACACTATTATAATTATTACTCCACAGAAGTTACCTTCAGTTGTGTGTTCTAAGGCAGAGCTTGAACTTCATAGTGTTATCAACCTTGATGCCCAATAAGTTTGTCTTGATATTTCCTATATTATTCCTATATTATGCCAAGACAATTTTTTTAATTTTTGTTCCTGAAAATGGATGCTCTCTAATCCCCAAAGCTCAAGCCAACCAAGGGGTGACAGTGTATGTAGTGGCTGTATTAAAATGTTTTGAGTAGACTTAGGAGTTGTTTGGTTGCTGAGTAGCTGCTAAAAAAACAGGGCTTCATAATGTTTTGTTTGTGGGTCAGTTTGATGCTATTTTAAAAAAAAATTTGTTGATGTTGTTTAATAGAATATGAATTATCCCATGTTGATGAGTTTATTGATGAATTACTTCATGAGGAAAGACTCTGTGATATCATTTTGCCAAGAATTCAAAAGAGATACGTGCTTGAAGATACCAATCAGCTGGAACCAAGGGTAAGTGTTTAGGAAACAATAATATGGCCATGCTAGAGACTAAGACTTCTTTCTTTGAATGAAGTCAACTCCTGTCATTTTTCACAAATTAAAACCTGCATATTTATTTTGTTCTGACTGTGACCTGTTGCCAAATAAAAATTATACCTTTTGGGTTTAAAATTAACAAATTACAAAAAAATATGTAAAAATGTCATTCAAATGCTCATTAATTTGTTCTTTCAAAAAGCACCATATATATAATAATAGTTGAACGGGGCAGGTGAGAGCGCTAATCAAGTTAAAATTGAACCAGACCTTATCATAAAATGATCTACACATGTGTATGTTGACAATATTCCATAGGGCAGTGAAATAGGTATTTTCAAGGATAGGAGTGGTGTAATATACAATAAATATCTCGCAAACTGAAGAAGTCAATGCAAATGGCAAAATACAACCACAAAATCGTGAGACAAATGTAGATTTCTAGAAATACTAGTGCTAATGGGTGGATCTGTTCAACTAGTTAGTTGCTTATTCACATGCGCATTTTTTTTTTATTTTCAAATACAACTTGCATAATCATTTGATTACATGGATATTAAGTTGTATATCCGTATCTTATAAAGCCGATTATTATACATAGGACATTAAAAACAAAAAAATTAACCCTTTTGTAAAGTACTGAATGTGCGTGTCTGAATGTCTTCTTTATTTGATTATTATACATCACAATTACGCTACATTCAAACATTTTCCTTTTTTTACACAAGACACTGAAGCACTGTTACTGCATGATGGTAATGCAATCATGTCAAACGTCCGTCAATGCGGTCACTGTATTGTGTTCGTGTATATGTTGAGTTTTCTCAAAATAAACTCATATTATTATTACACGATAAAAATTGAATATCGTTTATATTTTGTGATGCCAAATAAATCCTAATCCAACTCAATTTTTAGATTAGTGCATTGGAAGATGACTTAGATGACATTGAAGAAAGTGAAGATGAAATAGAAGCAGATGTAAGTGTTGCAACTTGCTATATTCATCACTAACACATCATCACCATGGCATTGCATTAAATCAACTCTTTATGTGTACTGTATTTGCTCCATTAGAAGTGCAAATAGACCAAAAATAAAATTTGTTGTATACTGAAATGCAAATCATTGAAATATGACTTAATTTTTACCACAGAACCACTCATAATTTACATGTGATACAATCTGCTTATGCTTAGTTGTTTGCTTTAATGTTTTGATTCAATGCTCATGCTACTATTTGTAAATTTATTATTGAAAATCATAATTTTGAAAACAGTTTACTAATTTTTATAACAACTCCAGTGTGGCTAGCCATCTAGGTTAAGTGTTAACTCGTCCATTGTTGTAAAAAAAAAATAAAGATGATAGTTGCTAATTAAGAGTGGAAAACTGATACTGAAACCATTTAAATATCAAAACTAATTAAATTAATCAGGTATTGTTTACCTGTATACAAATCTAATTAAAATAAAATTTTGGTTTAGTTTAACGAGCATTTTAATTTTAAAAAAGAAAACACGCATCTTTTTTTAATTAACTTGCTTGTACATGTATACTTGATCTCAAGACCTTAGTTTGTAAAGCAGTTAATCATTCAACTCTCTCACTTGCCAAAATTAACTCACAGGGGAGCTAATATGTCTCAATCCATATCAGTTTGAAGAGATTTTAATAGAAAAGCTCTTCCCTCATTACCGGTACTTATTTTACTGCATTCAGAGGAGCCATTCCCAGCTCCAAGGTCATTTTCAACAGACATGGCCTGGATCACTGTTATGAACTTCTACCTCCATTACTATTTTCTACTTGCAGGAAAAACGAAGTCCGTCACCAGAAATCCATCATAGCTATCGTGACTTAGATAAACCGAAGAGAAGTCCGTCTCCTAAATACAGAAGAAGTAGATCACCACACAGGAGGTTTGTTTTCTTATAGTTGTGGTACTGTAGAATACTTTATTTTCGCTGGAATTAATTTTCACTGAAAAGGCTTTTAGGGCGTTTTGTATGGAATTTATTTTCACTAATTTTTGATAGGTTTGATGAGAAACATAGGAAAAAAAAAGTATATTCGCTGGATTTTATTTTCACTGAATCATCCCTTCAGCAAAAATAGCGAAAATAAATTCCAAGCGAAAATAAAGTATTCTACAGTTTTTCCAGTATTTCTGTTACTGACAGTAAAAACTCTGCATCACCTGGCAGTGTTCGTCCTAGACATCTATTAACATGGAAGTTTTACTGTGCTCAAGCTTTCAGAAAATATTCAGAAGTTATTATTATGGTAATAATTGTTCCAAACTATATTATGTAAATTTGTTTCTGTTGTTATGCAAATGTGGCATCTGTTGTTTAAAATTCATGGAAACATTGGTCTTAGGGTAATTTATAATTTTTTTAATATTAACTGGAGTTTCATTATTTAAATGTGAATAATTTCATACTATAAAGTTACTGCTATACATCCAGTACCGAAAAAATGTGCCGTTTCGTTCAAAATTATTAAAATTTTCTTTTATATAAGATAATCCACATCACCATCATTGACACTCTCAGGGGTATTGACATCACTTTCGACCACTTTCGTTTGTTCACATGGAGCGCAAAGGCTGTAGCGTGATGAAAATAGAATTCGTCACTGAACCAAACATTAGCAAAGCTACACATCGGTCAATACGATCATTGCCATTCTTGACTGTTGTAAACACGTCTTTATAGGCTTTTCATGGATTGCTAAATTGAATTGTTTGCGTAGCCAAGTGTATGTATTAATCAAGTTGAAGTTGAAGGGTTATCATATGAAACTGAAATAATACTATTGAGTATGTTTGTAACATCACAGGAAGAGCAGAAGCTTATCACCGAGAAGAGATAGTCATCGTCGTCGTAGTCGAAGTCCTCGAAGACGACGTAGTAGATCAAGGGAAAGAAGACACAGATCACCTGGTAGCGGATTCTTCTTCTTCTCAGCTCATTCCTATTTAACGAGTCGAAAACACAAACAAAATTTCAAATCCATTATCCGTGCAAAAATATCAGGAGCAGTAACGGAAAACTGTTTTGCTTTGTTATCTAATTAAATGGATACCTAGAGGTTTCGTTAAATTTGCATTAATACATGAATGTGTCTGCAGCCAGTTCTCAACAGTTGTTAACAAGTCACTGAATACTGTAGTTTTTATATAAAACTATTTTGTTATTGTATCTTATGATCTTGCAGGCCACAGACATAGAGATGAAGACCGCCATAGAGATGATGACCGTCATCAACGTAGTCGTCATCACCACTCTCCATCACCAGAAGACAGGTATGCTTATCAACTTCGCAACTTCTCACAAAACTCTTTTAAGGTAGCGAGACTATTATTTGTGTTACGATTTTCACATTTATTTATTATTTGGTGAAATGCACTATAAACTTTCATCTGATAAAGTCAACGTAACCTAGAATGTCATGTAAGTTGGTTAAAATATAGATTTTCTGAAGGGAAGCAATGTAGCTTCAGTCATGTTTTCCAAAATCAACAACACAGGTTTAATCTGTGTGCCTATAAGTTTCAAAGATAAACTCAAGACAAAGCAATGTTAGGATGTGTTATCAGTAGCTATCTGACACACAATTAGTGTTTCCAAACATTTGAGTGGTTTGTCTCCGCCCCTGTTTATTTCACAGATTAGTCATTTGCATATGAATGTGTCAGACACAAGGTCACACAGCCACTGAAAAAAATCATTGATTTTGGTGTTTTCATCTGTTGATTTTATTGAACTATAGCTATCCTATTCTTTTATTTTGTTGGTTTCCAATAGCCTTACACATTTGGATGCCCCTACACATGTTAAAACAGACTTTGATGGGAAAACAAGTCGCTTATGCAGATAAACAAGCTTGAAAATCTTTGCTGTCACTTCATCGACGTTTTCTAAGAGTTTATTTTTTTCAAAATACAAGGTCTTTAACAAAAAATAACGTATACTTATTGTCGTCGGATTAACACCAAATTTTCACAGCTTTAAGGTGACAATGAGAGGAACTTGAATGTGTCCAGACAAACTATTTCATGGATTATTTACCAATGTGTTGTGGTTTGAGTTGGGGGCAATGCGACTAAAACAGAAATTAAAATTCAGGACACTACTTTAGTGTCAGAGGTTTAGATAAAAGGTAGTTAGTAAAATTTCTTCATATTTGAATTTATTTTTTTCAAGATTCAAGAAGTGAGGGGAACACCTGTTTTTTAATTTTGTCCAAATACTAATAATGAACCAAATTATTCTTTTGCTGCAAATTCTCAAGGAATGAATGTCAATCTATTTAACTGCTGTCCCAGATTCTGAATTATTTTCTCTCTTGACAGACCTCGAAAACACAAGAAAAAGAAAAAGGAGAGAGACCGTGATAGAGAGCGAGACAGTCGAAGACTATCCGATAAAGATCCTGATGTTGCAGAGGCTAATGCTTTGAGAGCTTCTCTTGGACTACCGCCACTGAAGTAGAAAGATGCATACTGCTTTGAATGTCAGTTTTATTTTTGGGATGTCAATCAATGCTATTTTTTACAGTTTACAAAGAGTAGAAATCACTCCATGTTTTGTTTCTCACATCCATATAAAAGATACATTGTATAGCAACCTGTCATCTGTCATCATACTTTGAGTTCCCAGGATTGTGACCACGTTGTCTCACCAGGGTGCCAGTTTTTGTTTGACTGATATGTGGTGTCACAAGTGGGGCATTCCAAAACAGTTTTTACTGCCACTGCTCGCAGTGCTGGGGAAGTTTGGGGACAAATAGCGAACAACAAAATTGATAGGTAAAAAGGTGTTTAGGTAATTTTTTCAAACATATAAAATGCAATTGGGTGTATTTTTAAAATACATTTTACATGAGTTTAGCTTGCATAGCAATGAAACCAATACGATCACATGACACTACTCCCCCAGATTACGTTTGTGTAAACTACGTCATTGGGGAGCCTTTTCATTGCCACGGATCACTATGACCACATCACTCGGGGCACCCTAGGTGGCGATGCGAATGCACTCTTGGTTTCTATATTACTGAACATGAGCCAGTCGTTTGTAAGATGATTTGTCAGTTTTTATCAAGTTGAATATACATCTGTTGTCCCCTAGAGATGTATTGCTATGTTCCTGTAGGTACCAAGATAAATCATATATTATATTTTGTTCTACTTTATCACTGTGTACTTGTATGAGGGGAGGCAAGGGGGGTAGCTGGTACGGTTTTACGGGAAATAAAAAGGGCTTTTCACAATGTACGAAGAAAAAAAAGACGTTTTTTTACAGTTTACAGTGTTAACAAATGGAACATTGAATGGTTCAAAAGCTCTCCGACTCAAATTCTCCGCCATTGCTGCGCCGTGTGAAGAGACGCATGCGCATATTACCCTCGTAATGCTCTTCATTCGGCTAGAGGGCCTTTTACGTCTTGACATTCAATTTTGTAGTGAATTGTGTCATCTAGTCGTTTTACAGTTTCTAAAATGTAATTTCCCTGGATTATTCTTTACGATTTTTTATTTGGATGTGAATTTTTGTACGTACGAGAAAAATGACACATTTTTACAGTGTACGAACAAAATATTTGATTGATTGCGTTGTACGTCTAGCCTGTGATTACAGAATTACGGAATTTATTTTTTCTATTTACGTTGTACGAACAAAAAAATATTGCAATTACGTTGAACGAAAATAACCCTTGCCCCCCCTCTTGTATGGATGAAAAAAACACAGTAAACTTTCAACATGGATGCCTACACCACAAAATCAATGTTCAGTATAAAACTGAGGCTCATTTACTAAAATATCTACGGATAAAAAAATTACATATTTCTGATGACAAAAAGTGTATCAATGTAGATTGATCCCTTCTTTGCTTGTGTTACATTATCACCTCTCAAAAGCTATCATCTCCCAGACTACAACCATGTTAATTTGAAGCGATATTATTCCTGTTTATTAGCTCCTTCTGTATATTTGTCCCACTGCCAGTCCTTTGATACCACGACCACATTGGTGCGTACTGTAACTGTTTGTTTACCAGGTCAAAATCAGACAAAATCATATTCATCAATTCTATTTATTGATGAATATGAGATTTGTTAAAAAAAAAACATATAGCTCAACAATGTATGAGGGAAATGCATTATTTGCACATTCAAATTCCTCCCAAACTGTTGACGTATGAAAAGAATATTCATGTGATAAACATCATGGTAGGTTTGTTTTTAACATCGTTAATTCACAATTGAGATTTTTTTAATTATAAATGAGGTTAAAGACTCTATATCTTGATCTGAACGCATGCAATGCGATTTTTACCCTTTTTTTGGCACCAAAATGAATATGCTGGCAGTCATTGCGCCGATACCATGTAAAACAGATGGTGTTTTTTTGTGCACCTCTTGAAACATTGGGAGAGTAAACATTGGCTTGTCTGAATTAAAGACACTCCACATCATATTGGAACTTTATTTTGAATAATTACATCCAAGATAGGGAACAATTCTGATTTTTGTGGGGGTAAGTTGCTTGCTACTCCTTAATTCCTACCGCCTGAATGCTAACACATGGTGTTCAAAACTGTATTTATTTCTGATATCATGTGCCAATGAGTACTTTGTTATGAGATGTAGATCATTATTTCCTTTTTACAATTAAACAATTCAAATAAACTTGGTTGGTGAGACTGTATGATTGGTATAAATGCGATTTGTTATTGTAAGAGCTATCTGTCATCACCTTTATCCAGAACATGTTAATTAATCTGCTCTCTCGTATCTGATGAAGTAGGCTATTCAGAATTAGACTAGCCGGTCAACTTCTAGTGTAATTGGACGAGATTTTATTTTTTAGTCTTGGTATTAGTGGTTGTTGTTGGTCTCCTAATCAGGGGGACCTGAGTTCAACAGGCGAGTATGCCAGACTCTATGGAGAGGCCAAAGCCACCGATGAAAGTAAATACACTAATAAATACAAACTTTGGTTAAAGTGCGGTGGTTGTTGCGCAGCACGTGTTCGAATTTCATGTAAATAAACAATGTATATTACACGCGTTGTATACGTCGCTATGAGTCCCATATCGAACAGGACGCGGCACGACGACTGCCGTCCTTTAAGGTTCTCTTGTGTGTGATCATGCATGATTGACACTGAATGTGTTACAATAATGTAGTGATATATACAATTATGATATGCACAATAGGCTACTGGTCCAAGTGCATAAATTACTGCAGTGATAAATAAACTTTTTGGAAATACAAGGGTTAATTGAACCATACTAGTCATTTTCAAACTGGGCAGTAGTCTACTGTTTTATAGTATTGCATCTATAGCGTTGTTGTGCCTACCTTTAACGGTCTATTCTCTGTTATACAATGTTGTCGCAATGAAAAATAACCTTTTTCACACCTACACTTGACTGTTTGTATAGCAGTTATGCACATAAATTTCTAATAACCAAAGTTGTATCCTCAATGTTTTTGCAGTCAAAATGAGTGTATGCAACAATGTCAGCCGAGACTTTAACAAAACTTTTTTTTATGGAATGGTAAAATGATCCTGTAGCAAATAGGGGTATTTCTGATACTTACACTAAATAGTTTTAAAACTACAATTCGCAGTGAACATGCACGTCATCCAGATGCGAGGAAAATTCCAAGTAAATTCTGAAAGTGAGCCCTCTAGTGATATTCTTTGGGTTTTGATTGACTATAGTGGTTTGAAAGTTTGCATTAGTGTTGTTTACATTTCTCTTCGGCGGGTGGGGTCGAGTGTTTTTTCGGAAGACAATAACCTCCCGACTTTGAGTGATGAGATGTCTATAAAACTAGCGAGATATCCACATTTCAAAGAGATTTATCATGGTGACTCATGGGACTTAGACTTGCATATAGTCTCTTTTTTTTTTATTTGTTGGCGCCTTTTCAATAAAATAACATTATAGGAGTGTATAAATAAAGTGCAAGTCTAACGGGGTCGTTGTAATGCAATTGATTTTTTTTAGAGAACCAGCAAAGCAGAGCTAAAACTTTCTGTGAAAGAGATTTGATTGAAACACTTTTTTTCAATTTCGTGTGCAATATGACCGTCCTGCTCTATGATAGAGGGACTGTGATAATATGAATGCAAATCCAAGTGTTTAATTCTGCCTTCAGTTGTCAGTCGATTCCCGTAACAGCTTAAATTTATTGCATATGCTTAAGATGTCTCGATTAGAACATTGAACAATTAAATTGCGGTGAGAGACTGGAAAAACTTTGTTTCAGTGCTGTGTCTATCAGTCATTCGGAAGTGTGAAAATAACAAATAACATGTACATGTCAATGGAATTGGTCACGAGTGTGTTTTTACTTTGCACTTACGTTATACAAATTTTAAATAAATTTTAAATAAGTTTAGAAGTTGTAGTTAAAAACAAAATTTTCTGAGTGTAATCCCAGTGAATTTGGTTGTATCACATGTTTAAGTCCGAATAAAACGCATTGTATCATGTGAGCTATCTGGCTCCGATTTATCATACTATCTTAAAATTTATCTCTCGGTGTTTGTATCAAACTCGGCAGCCATGTCGAATGCTACAATGGCGATGACTCCTCAGAAACAAGTACTCTTCTTTTCCACCAGGCGACATTTAGTATCATCTCATTTGCGACAATTGTGTCGAAAACGTTTCGGAGATGATGTTTTTTTTTCAGGACACGAATACACAATTTGCTATGGAATTGGAAAATTAAATATAGTGATTTTATCCTACATTTCATACAATTCAGAAGTTAAAACTTTTTTAATCAAAATATAGAATTAATATCTCCATTTCTGGTCAAGTAAATGGCTTTTTTCCCAAAATTTAGATTTCTCCTCAGAGCATCCATTACATTACCAACATTAAGGTTCAATGCTGCCTGATGTTGGTAAGAAAAGTAAACTCTGAAAATGTTCATTGTTTTTTGAGGCTAACTAATATTAAGTGGTTTTGGGATCAATACAAACACATTTGCTCCTGGCTCAACATCCTCTACAAAGCAGGTATTTGGTCATTTGTAAATCCTGCATATTTAATAGACCATTTTCCGTTCACTGCGAGAATCACGCGTTATGCGTGAAATCGAACGTAAAAACAGGACAAACAAAGGTCATAGCGTCGTAGTCGCGTCAAACATCGCGTGGGATTCGACAAACGCGAAAGTATTCTGGGGGACATTTCCATGCTTAATAATGTGCTGTCCACATTTGATGATAGGCAATTTCGATTAAGTAAGGGTATTCGGAAGCAATATTCCTCTGTCGAAGCTGCGAAATAAAGAAATTCTAGTTCAAAATCAAATCGTTCGATTTTTGCGGCAGACGTTCGACGCGCGTCTTTTATGCATCTCGCGAGATCTCGCAATTGTACGGGAAATCACCTATTTCTATTCTCCCAAAGTGTATGCCCTTGATTTTGACCGCAATGTGATCAGCAGAATTGCTAAGGCTAATACAAAATGTATCAGTGACATACACTCTCCTTGTTGTAAACCTCTATGCAACTCAAATTATCCAGTGCTGAAACCTTTATTCATGGCACATTTGTATAGAAAAGTTTAACCCATTTAATAAAACTGCTGCCAAAATTAAAAACACTCACTGAATCGAGTAGGAGCCCCCATTCCAAGAAATCAAATGCTTTTTGAAAGTTAATTTTAATAACCACCCCAGGCAAATTTGTTTCATCATTGTAATCCATGATATTTTCTTTGAGCCTAACAACATCTCCTATATTTCTGTTTTTTACAAATGCTGACTCATGAATTATTTTGGCAGTACTTTTTCTATTCGTCTATGGGTTTTTGTAGCAATTTTGTAGTCTACGTTTAACAAAGTAATCGGTCTCCAGTTGTCCTGTCCTTGTCTTTTTTTCTAATAAAGTAATCATCCCTTGTAAAGGAGAGAATTCTCATTTTCATAAGCAGAAATGAGAGAGTTCACTACAAGTTTACCTATTTGAGGCCAAAACTGTCAATAGAATTTTGTTGACAAGCCATCATTTCTTTGCTGTTTATTCACAGGAAAGGACTTTACCACATTATACGATTCTTCTAGTGTAATGAGGCCTTCACATATATCTGAAAATTCACTAAGTAGTTTTGAGTATATTAGGATTTTAAAGAAAACTGTTTTGTGCATTGTTTATTTCATTCAATTTGGATGAATATAGCTCATAAATGGTCTTTTATTTATTTATTAATATACTTTGACCGTCTATCACGTTTTGGTAGTACACCTCATATCTCTGCTAGCTCGTACCAATTGCATCGTGATAGTTCACTATACTGTCATCTGTGTCTATAGTATACTCTTCAACTGTTGTTTTACTCTTTTTGTCTGGTCTACATCTGTTGGAAACAGGTTGTTAATTTCACACAAAGTTTTTAATTCTTTTTCTCATTTAGCAATCATTTTAGACTAATGGTTTTTAGCTTTTTCTTTGCTGTATTTAATGGATGTTTGCTTGATTTTATATTTGATCCAATCCCAGATAAATCTCGAGTCAACCAATTACTATTAGTATTATTGCTATATTAAGGTAGACGCAAATACCTCGTGTATCATAACGCAAAATATTCTGTAATTCATGGTGATACAGTGTATAATACAGATAATAATATGATTAATATTAGTTTATAAATAATATGGACATTTGTAATACCCATGATACGAACTAACGTAGTGTGTAGGGAACTTTGACTTGGAAGTTAACATTCAGACGTAGAGATACCAGATTCGACCCAAATGAATACACATTAGTTTATTACAGATAGTCCAGCTTTAATCATCCAAACGGTCAGCTGTGATACTAGTAACCCCTCGCTGTCTCCGTCTCCCCTTCTCTTACAAACTCCTCCATAAAACTCAAAGGCGTGGCTGAGTACACATGCGATAAGCCAATCGCTGCAGCCGTTGGCATGATCGCGTGATTACCAGGGATTTGTTTCACGGTTAAAAGCATTGCGAAAATTGCCACTACTGAATACAATTAGTAAACAACTTATTTATAAAATACCTGCAATAATAATGTTTCCTTTAAACATGAACGTTGTTGATCCTAAATAATACTGCAATGTTGTGTGAATCAAATGTGCACACGTGGTGTCGTTATGGTAACACAGTACTTCAATAGATATACAAATTTGATTATTTCACCGGGAAAAAAATAGAAAATGACCGAAGAAGCAGTTCTCGAAAAACTAATCTAGTCTCTGTCTGGCTCTGTATTTTACATGTAATTATCAATTACAACATTAAACCATAGGCAATGTAAAATATAATTATTAATCTAAACACTATGTTTAAGACGGTATTTCGGTTTTGTGAAAGTAACAATACAGCATATGTGTTTTGTCTTTAGCTTGAGATTGGGTCCAGGAGTGCGTCGTACGTGTGTAATACGTCCCCCCTCCGAATACAATACATAACATGGAAGGATGGGTTAGTAAGACAATACAAGAATGGCTGACGTAGTCAAATCGTGATGTAATACATAAATGGCTGACGTAGCCAAATCGTGATGTAATACATAAAAGTTGTCTAGCTTATTCTTTGACATACCCACGTGCTTGGGGGTTAAGTGTGCCTGAGATAGTCTATATATGACATTGTAAACTACGAATAATTACGACTCTCTCCATACTTATTTTCCTCGGAACCGTTTTGAAACCCATAATTTGTTTTATCAGTATTTATAGGTAGTTTATTGGTTTTACAAGCACGTGGTCAGATTTCCAAGTTCTTAGTTAAAGGAATTTCAATGTACAGTTGTTCATTTTTTTCCAAATAAATGAAAATAGGAAACGTGGCCAGTCACGGCCGATTTGCTAAGAGGACATTGTCACCGTATAGAAAATCACGCACAGGTTGCTTTTCCACACCGTTTCCCACGATGCAATGAATCGTCAACAGAAAGTATATTATGAGCGTATATCCTCAGGCTGGCGAACGGTAAACACGTACATTATGTCTATAAATATACTGCAGCAAGCGTTTGCAAGGCTATATACCCGTGAGAGTCGGGACCTGAAAACTATATTATTCATCAATGGCTTGCAGCTATTGGTGGATAGTATATAACATACGACTAGATATTTACCAGAGCTACTAGTCTTAGCAATTGTAATTTGGAGTTATGAATTGGAAGCTGGGCACTTTGGTGTCCGGCATCGCGGCTAGTAAGAGAGTTGCCTATCTGTGATTATTTGTATTATTTTGTGTCGAACCTGGTATCTCTACAGCGTAAGGTTATCTAACAAGCACGCATGATAACAATAAATGTGTCCAAAATTGACATAATTGTTTGTTTGCAAATGATTAAATGACCTCAATATGTCTAGATGACATTTGATACTATACTAATTATGCACATGTGTTGTATGCTGTATATCTAGGCACCAGTTTTTAATTTTTCTAACATCAACTTGTTCGTGCATCACGTGGTTTTTTCACATACTACTCACGTATATAGTAGTGCCCGTTCTCACGGAAATCGTATAGCAATTGTTATTTGTTCCTCGCGACTGAAGGCAACCTAAACAAACATCTCTAAACTTACATGTAAAGCAGTGTAATCAACTTGTGATTTTAGATTGGCCGGAAACTACGATTTGCTCCGACCCTACGACCGGTTTCAAGTCATAAATGTTCAGTCCACGTTATACGGACTTATATCATACTACATAAAACGTCCCACTGCGCAAATACCAAAGCAAAATGCACAATCGGGGCCAGCAAAAAGATCACACGACCTTTGGCAAACGTGCACGCTAACAAGTGTAGTTTATCAAGAATATACCAGAGTCAACAAACCCCTGTTTAGATTTCAAAATATTCATAAATCCATAAATATTTTATTTGAAATCAATCGTTTTCATATTCAAACGAGACGATTGTGATTGCATTCATTGGCCAATCCCATACTGCCCCCACCAGTCGACGAAGTGACCGCGCATCAATCATATGGCCGGCCGATTTTTGACACTTTCCCAATGTCACGATGCTGTTCTGTACTAAGGCCGGGTAAAATGATTTTTAAGTTGTTTACTCCAGTGTAAATGTTGATCTGATATATGCGAGTTCTGTACCATTTTTAACTTCATTTATTTCTTTTATCAGGAATATTGTCATATATATATAACATATATAACTCTAATATATAACTACAAACAGTTATTTCGTGGCCCATGCGTTGCATTTCGACAAACTGTATTCGAGTCCAGAAGAAAATACAACTTCATCTGAATTGGCCAATAAAATCAATAATTCCGAACTCAAAATATTTTTTAATGTTTGACAAGTCAATGTTTTAGAAAAATACACTGTATCTTGTATGTGTTTTGTAAGTTTATCAGTTACTCAGCGTGTTGTCTAGAAAGTCTGCAATAGCTTTTCCGATTTCATTTGGGGAATCTTCCTGCAAGAAATGAAGTCCCTTCACAGTAACTTGACGATGGTTCGGCCAATTTTTCGTCACGTGTCTTATAGCATCGCTGAAAAATCCAGGGTCCCCATTGATGTACAATTTTGGAATGTCTTTCGAATCAGAAAGATACTTCACATATGCGTCAGTTATGTCAATCACGTCTTGGGGGCCATCTTCCCGTACTGGAATCTCCCTTGGCCAAGTCAGGGTCGGTCTCCTTGACTCTCCCTCTTCGACGTATGGCATGCGGTAAGCGTTCATCTCGTCTTCGGACAAGGTTCGTATGATTGAACTGGGAAGAAGCCTCTCAATGAAGAGATTCTTTTTCAAAATCATATCTTCACCAGCGTCTGAACGCATTGCTTGAAAATAGCTCCTGGCAATTTCTGGAAATCCTTTCCATTCTGCCACAGACACCAGACTCTCCATATGAACGATGGCTTTAACTCTAGAGCGATGTTCGTTGCACCAATGGAGCCCCAGTCCGGATCCCCAGTCATGGCATACAATAACAAGTTTTTCTGGGAGATTCATAGCTTCAATCCAAGCCTTCAAATATCGGTACTGGTTTTTATAGCTATAATCGTGATTAGGAAGCTTTGCAGAATTCCCCATGCCAATCAGATCAGGCGCCAAACACCATGCTTTCTTCTGCACGTGTGGAATAATATTTCGCCACAGAAAAGAAGATGTCGGGTTTCCGTGCAGAAACAAGACTGTGTTGGTTTTGAACCCATTATGTGCAGACGAATCATAATAGCTCATTTTCGAGTCCAACACTTGGACTTGACGGCATTTGGACACCCAGTCGTCCCAAGCAGCCGAAGACGTACTTCTCGAAGATACCGTATACATCGCTGGCGAGACATATTTTGCTGAATTTACTTGTGGTCTCGGGAAGTGGGACGCGAGCACTGTTACTCGATGCATGATTCTGAACGCAATGGAAGCCATGTTGATTAATGTATAACTGGCTTAGGAGAAAAGGTTACTCAGTCACGTGACAAAATAAAATTAGGTCATGACCCTCATCTAAGGAGCTCTCCAACAGAAATAAACTGAGTGTTGAATACGGTTCTAGTCAAGGTCTGTGCACAGGTTTTGTTGCTTTTCGATAATTATCTTGTAATTATTAAAAGCAATCTGAGTTACAAAAATAAGCCGATATTTTTTTAGTTTCTTGGTGATATTGATGGCGATGATAATAACTGTAATGAGGTCTAGAAAGTGTAGCAAAATACTTTATTTTAGCTGAAATTATTTTCGCTGACGTAATAGACTTTTTGGGTGTTTTGTATGGTGTTTATTTTCACTGATTTTTGAAGAGTTGAATATAGTAAAAACGGTATATTCGCTGGATTTTATTTTCACTGAACTATTCCTTCAGGGAAAATAGCGAAAATTATTTCCAAGCGAAAATAAAGTATTCTACATTACTCGGCGCTCCAAAGGAAAGGGCTGACTCTTTCCGTTCTGTGACGTTGGAACTGACAGTCCCCTTTACATTCGAACGCTCCAGCCCCCTATCAATATAAACTTGAGTACTCCCTAATACTAGTGAGCCAATGAGTAACTGCATTACGCATGCGCACTAGTATTACGAGTTCGTGCATCGTCGCCTGAGATCGCCACAGTTGAATTATGTAAGTATGGTTTTTTACGTCCTAATGTTGTTCCAGTGAAATTTCTTCTTGAATTTACTATATTTACAGCATTGTCGACTGAAATGAGAAATGCGCCACAATTTGCAACACCGTCGTCCGATCAGCTGTGTGATGTCACAGCGTGCGTGTACATAGCTATGTAGAAAACTGACCGATGACTCCCCGATAGGCGAAATAAATATCAGGAGCAGATGTTAGTTGAGTTTAGATGGTCCAGTGGCAAGGAATATTCGTATATTCATCTGATCTCGATATTAGAAGAAAAACATGGTACCTGTTCAATCCTTTTCAGTGTGCATTGAGCATTGTCGTTTACCACGCCCTCTTGCGGTCGACTGCTAAAAAAAATATGAATATTTAACAACCATTTAAAAATAAATAAAAACATGTGTGTATTGATTTGGGAAATCAAATTGACCAAAATCTTTTGATTTCATTATTTTAGTGATACTACAGCCCATTCTCATTCCCAGAGTTCCTTGCGATTAAATCACCGAAAGTATCTCTGCCACCACACACCGTCATTTTGTGGTGAAATACCACAAGACTTTTACCAAGCGTGTCATTTGCGTATTTTTGTTTTTAGAGGGCTCTCATGTTGATTTACTCCTACTGGAAAACAAGATTTAAAATATTTTATCAATAGCTGATAACGATTTTTTCGTAAATGTACTGTCACGGGTGAAATAGTTATAATTTACAAAAGAAAATAATTTCATCTCGGAATAACGGTTACTAAGGTGTTACTCGGTTCATCAAACTGACCGTCCTGTCGTTTGCCAGACAAAGAAATATAAAAAAACGATTGCACTGTCACATCGTTTGTGTTACAGAAAGGAAAAAAAAAACCTAACTTTGAAAACGGTCAGTATATGCAAACAACGTGTACGCATTCGTCAGGTTCGAAAATCAAACACCTGCATGGCAATGTTTTGGTGGGCGTCTTTGAAAGTAGTACCACTGTGACGCATCGACAAGCATAAGATCGCGTGGTGGCAGAGATATATTCATAATAGAACTCTGCCTGGGAGATTGACTACAGCCATCAGAATTTCATTTTGTTAAATATGATAAGTCGTATCATATTGTTTGCACCAACATAAAATGTTTTACTCAAAATTATTCATATCTCTAATGTATCTCATTTTTAAAAAAATCTGTAACTTTAATTTCTGTCAAGGAATAATAATTTGTTTACTATTTCTAAATTTTTCTCTTTATTTGCAGCAGCTCATAAGTGAGAATATAACTGGATGAAACTGGATTTAACTGGTCTATTGTGAAGCTATCGGTCAGCACCAACTGTAACTAGTCTGCTATAGATAAAGCATTGCTATGGCCCAATCTAGAATCTTCAGGCCATCAGGACCTGCTGAGATTGTGCGATCTAACCAGAAGGATGGGTTTTATATCAGTTACATGCGTGGTAGTCTGGCCAATATTTTCCAAACTTTTGCTGGTGCTCGTGCCTGGATGCAGTGGCGCAAAGAAATAGATGTATCAGCTGACTTGGCCTATTTCTTACTGACAACAGTAGCTGGGTACCAAACTCTTGGGGAGGAGTACTGTAATATCGTTCAAGTGGACCACACCGGAAGAGCGATCCCTTCACGTTCCCGAAGACTTGCTCACGTACTGCTGCAAATTGGAGTGCCTTATGTCATTGACCAAGCACTGAAATTTGTGCACAACCACATCAATACAGTGCGTACCATGCTGGGACTCTCAGACAAAGTCACCAACATGATATTACAGTGCATACCTGTCTTGCGTACCAGCGTGACATATGTTCATCGCTTTCATTTAGCGTTATTTTATTTGCAAGGACTATTTTATCATGTGGCAAAAAGAGTTGTGTCTGTTCGATACCTGTTAGTACGTGCAGGTATATCCCCCGATGTCTACAGGTCCAGTTACAGCCTTCTTGGCATGCTCACCTTAACGCAGTTAACATTAACTTTACTATGGCAGCTGTATACAAACTTCGTAAAACCAGGGGTATTATTTCGAAGCAAAGTCAGTGATTTGAACATCCCATCATCAGATAACTCGGAAACTGAGGAAGTGTATTTGGATCCAACAAAACGATGTTCTTTGTGTCTAGAGAGCAGAAAGAGTTCCACTGCAACGCCGTGTGGACACATGTTTTGTTGGACTTGCATAACTGAGTGGTGCCTGGCAAAACCTGAATGTCCACTATGTAGGGAAACTTTCCAACTCTCAAGACTAGTATGTCTACAACATTTTGAATGACTACGAGGCACATAAGAATGCTAACATTTTTCCATAAGATCTCCAGCATAAAAATAGTTATTATTTCTGAGAGTAAAAAAAGTTGTATTTATTTACTCCAATTAGGATCAGGGAGCATTGCAAAGCATTGTGGGTAAGAATATGCTCAGCAAATATTGTGTCACTGTGTTGCCCAAATTGTCAACTTATGAGAGGCAAGTCTGTATTTTAAAAACCGGGATACTAAATTCTTAAAATCATGGTCATTATTATAACAGTAATAACACACAATGCATGGTGGTTATCATATTATAATTTTTGATAGTGATTTATTCGAGATTTTTGTATTTCAGAATTTAAAGTACATTATGTTTTTGAAATTTATTTACATAGACAAATAAAATTAATGAGTATTGATCAAACTTTATGCAATTTCTCAAGCTACAAATGATGATATAATATTTTCTACAGTTCTCGGCGCTGTACTTTTTATGAATAAATATCAATTTTATATTCAACTTTCTGGGGTTTTGTTTTCCTGTAATGAGAATAAGCTACCAATCGGTCTCAATTTTCACTGTCCTAGGGGGTTTGATTCTATTTGTTTGTAATACATTTGTTGGTCTCACCACACTGTAATGAGAATACTATAAGCTACCAATCGGTCTCAATTTTCACTGTCCTAGGGGGTTTGATTCTATTTGTTTGTAATACATTTGTTGGTCTCACCACACTGTAATGAAAATAAGCTACCAATCGGTCTCAATTTTCACTGTCCTAGGGGGTTTGATTCTATTTGTTTGTAATACATTTGTTGGTCTCACCACACTGTCCTGGGGATCGAGGTCAGAGTTACACGTGATCAGTTATAATACTGTATATACATGTATTGCTGTTCTGAAAATATACATCCCAAAAATGATGAAAAATGTCTTCTTTCATATTGCTTTCAATGATTTTTATTTTGTCGTCTTTTCTAAAACCTTCCAAAATCAGATTTCTTCATTTTGTAACAATATCTGTAGTTTTGTATTTCGGGTGAATATTTAATCCAAACTGATCACAATTTACTTAACCCCTGATGAAATTATTCAAATGAATAACAATAAGAAAAGATTTGTTTCGAATGACAGAACTTTCATACTTTGTCACTGAAGTCATGACTTTTATTAATTTGTTGTATTCTGACCGATTCATTTCAAATGGAAATATGAGTGGGGTACATATACACTGTATGTATAAATGACAGTGGGGTGTTGCGAGGGAATAGCTCAGTCAACAAAGTAGGGTGTTGCGAGTCACTCTTGTTTCCATGGAAACAAGAATTATTATACTGTTTACCATAGAATTGTTAACTATTCCTGTTAAAAATGCCTAACCTTTTGAGAGACGTAATTTTTCATGCATAAAGTTTGTTGCAATGTATTGCGCATTTTTATGTATTTTCCAATAATTTATTTGGTAATTTTGAACCAAATAATCTCTTTGGCTGCAGGTCTTGGTCAAATTAAAAAAAAAAAACAGAAAAAAAACATGTTTATTCAATGTCAGGTGATATTTCACTGGCATTCATTAGTTTAACGTGTCGTTGTTTTGGTGCAGCGCATGTTCGAAAATTATGTAAATGTACAATGTAATGCACAATACAACAGCAAGTGTCGATTTCAAACATCAGCTATCACATATGCTCATGTTCAAATTTCAAATTAATAATAACGATTGACAACTATGGCAGGACTTTTAAACAACAAGGAAAGACAAGCACTAGAAATGGGACATATTTTACATTCAGAATTCTATTTATTGTTATTTCAATAAATAAGTAAGATCAAGTTGTTGTTTTTTTGTATGGATCTTCCAACATAAGGTAAACTAATATATAAGTTAAATAGTAAGACTTAGACATGACTTTCACAGTGTTCAAAAATCCTGCTTGTAAGCTTATAAGACTAAAGAAGACAACACAAATTCCAGTTAGTATAATGCTATAGTTGTTGCATAATTGCATTGCTTTTAATCATAACACCCAAATATCAACAAAAGGTAGAAATAGAACTTTTGTCAGAATAGAAAGTACAAGGAAATCCTAAACTAATTTTTTTTTTTTTTAATGTTTAGGGGTAGGGGGAATAAAAAAAGTTCTCTAAAATACCCTTTTCCAATTAAACAGAAGAAACTAAATTCCTGAAACAAGTTTCAGTGTAAATTTTTTTCAGTTCAAAACTATTTTTTTTTTTTTCAATTTGTGTGTATAACATTGTGCGATGATATTAAACCCAAGTATTGTTCTTTAATTTATAGTGAAATTATAGACGCTGCTTGATGATACCGTCCAATTTCTTGACTGGTCCAACGTACTGGTAGGCTGGTCCCCTTTCACTTGGTCCCAACTAAAAAAATAAAATAAATAGAAGCTCTGTTATAACCTGTAGAAAATCACTATGGAATTCACGTTAAATTCATCAAAAATCAGTGAAAATAAATTCCATACAAAACGCTCAAAATGCCTTTCCAGCGAAAATAAAGTATTCCACAGTATTATTTTTTTGCATTACATTTATAGCAGTGATATTAAATTTATCTAATTAGTATTGAAAAATGTACCTACAAATTTACAATCTTGGACAATAATTATGATTTTTTTAATAATACAATTACCACCTTTATTCTATTAGAAGCTCATCTCCAATAAAAACACACGTAAATAATCAATGCATATAACAGTAAACTGGATCATTACATCTTTTGATCATAGACACACTTTTGTGTAAGCGTATGCGCTACTAATAGAGCAAATATGGTAACACATTTTAAAATCAAAATGGCTACCACAAGTAGGACTCAATGCTATCGGGAAATCACAAAATTATTGTTTCCAGGGCAACAAGTTCTGGTAATTTATTTGACAGAACTTTTTAATCAGCAAAATACAATAATGCTTTTAAATTTTTATTGTCTATCTTCAAGTTTAACCTTTTCACCCTTAGTTCCCTCTTTTCATCACAAATTCATACAATTGTCCTGTTTATAGTCTGCACTTTCCTTTAGAAGACTGGGAAAAAAAGCCACATTTTTTGACTAAAAACTGAAAATTGACTCAAATTTTGTCTGTTGACTCCAAAATTAGGGTTCATTTTCAGAAATATTGAAAAGGTAGAAGTATGCAAAACTGGACATGAATGGATATGAAACTCAAGTGTGCTGATGAGTTGGACTTACATTGGTTATTCTGATTGGTGTTGGTTCTTCACATGGACGACATACAGAGGTACCCATATCGTGTTCGTCTACAACGCATTCACAGATCTGGCATGGAGATGGTTTGCTGGTGAACACCATACGTGGACAGAAAACATCTGAGAAGGATTTCTCTTTCATCATGTTGCTATCAAAGACAGTGCCATTGGTTTCCTGTGCCAATCTGGTACACTGGTTTTCATCGCCATGGATGAAGTCGCGGAACTCCTTGGAGCCATATGGGTTGTTGATGTCCTTGCTGCTGAAAACAGCTCTAACGTCATAACCTGAATTACAAAACCGGAAATTAGTTTACGTTAATCTCAGTAAATATATCCTGTATTACTTGATGTATAAGAAAGTAAATTAAGTACACTGAAGCAGACATGATTCACAAACTTACCGTAAACCATAGCGGTCATGCTAGCTTTCTTGATACTGAAGCCATTGTCGGACAAAATGTGGAGACTGATGCCTTGTTTTTTGAGTATGCTAGAAATCTCATCGTAAGATATGGCAGATGATCTACAGTCGGAGCAAGTCAGGAGGATGATACTCTTGGCAACGCCGGTACGGAATGGATAACTTGCAGCTTTACGCAGAGCAAGGAATGTATCATTGTTCTTGGAGTTTTCGGAGAAGACCAGACTGTCACTTCCAAGGATGAACTTGCGTCCCTTATTGAAGAGCTTGGAATCGATGGTGTGAGAGTGTTCCTTGGAGTGAACGTGATCACCGCCATAACCAACTAAACCAAAACGGTTGTCTTGAAGACCTATGATAGAAACAAACAATAACATGATATTGACATTTGTATCATGCTCTGAGGATTTATTTCTACATTCTAGCAAGTAGACATGTATTGACCTTTGCTATATAGTCTATTACAAACTAAATATATCATTTGTCCAAGCATGACTTACCTTGGCTCTTAAATTCAGCTTCAATCTTACGAACCAACTCGTGAAGATTTTCAGCGCTGTCTTTGTTGCAAGATTTCTCTTCAACTACGAAAACGACATCGGCAGATTTGGGTACATTCATTTCACCCTCAGTCAGCTTAATCTTTTCGTTCTTGTGGAAGACATCACCAAGAGGTTTCTCGCAGCTAACTGGAATATAAATCAAATGATACCCAGTGACACACTACATTGATGGACCAACTGCAAATTTAAGAGGAGCTGTATGATCATAACAAACTGAGCTCAAGTTAGATGCAGTAACAAATCTACATTTTCCAATTGATCAGCGAGTTTACCTACCGCAGTTCTTTGGCATGTAGACAGGCACATTGTTCATCTTGCATTCGTGGATGTAGGCAGCAGCAGAAGTACATGGAACAGATTCAATATCAGCAACGTTCTTAGAGTCGCACAAGTCATTCATGCACATTTCCATAAATGGTTCTGGGTTAACCTGCAAAGAATTGAATTACCGGTAAACGTGATACTTTCAAATACAGACAAATTCTAGAGCAACAGACCGAGAGATCTAGAGATAAAGTGATAATTTCATAATCACTAATTTGATATCTAAGTTTAAAGATGACAGGATGAAAATTGTCTGAAAAAATGGGCGACAGGCTTAGTATATATTTTACAAATAATGATATAAATTTTCATGTAATTTCACTATTTTGATATTTCTTGCATATTCATCATGTTTTACTTTGACGGTTTTGCGAGTTTTATTGTAATATTACATTTTCATTGAAAATTATGAAAATTAGATCAATGAATGAATATTGTATTTACAGTAAGGGCAGTACAGTGGAATATATATATACTTACAATTCCGAAGCACAATCTCAGGGGAGAGGTAAGGTTCTTGAACAGATTCTCACACAGTTCTTTCTTTGGATTACGACTCATGTTCTCACATTTACTGGCCCTATTTCTGTGGCTGCTGCACTGCCTGCCGACTTCCCAGCTACGAGCCAGATCTTCAGCGGTATCAGTAATACTGCGGTAAGAGGTAAGGAAGTCGTCCACTTTCTCGTTGTTGTAGGTTCCGAAAAGACCTGCTGTCTTTCCGTAGTACCATCCAGAGGTGGTCACAGTGCAGAAGTCACGGGGAAGATTGCATACAACAGTGACTCCATGTTCGTTGTGTACACGGACGGTACTTCCTTCACGGGTGATGGTTGTGTTCTTGTGTTGGATTGGCAACTCAACTGGGGTATCTGCCACATTCACCTGCCACGAGAATGAAAACAGAGACTTCGTTAAGAGAAATGATTCAGCAAATTAGTGTCGCAAAAAAATTTAGAAAAAGTTTACAGAGCAGGACTTGAAGCAATTGATATAATCTCTATGTGTAGTGTAAATGTAGATATCAAATATGGTTTTCATGGTTAAAATAAGTAATTTAATCATCGGACAAAGAGTTAATGTGTGCTCCAATGCACTGAAATAATCATTCAAATATCTATCTGCTGTAAACCTCAAGAAATCACAGGTAATGTCCATTTTCAAGTATGGCTAATTTCAGAAAAATTGCTAGTTATTTGGTGCTTGGGATGATGACCAAGCAAACTGAGAACCAACTCTGAAAAGTCTCTAAGTTGATAAAAGCCACTGAATTATCATGAAACATCCATACAAAAAAACAGAAAATGTAGTATTATTTGTGAATACTTACAGAGAAGTCTGGGAAGATTTCAATTTCCTTGCCTTGGGTGATGACTGTTATGGATTTCTTCACTACTTTTGGACTATCGCGGTCATAGTTGACAATAACGGTGAAGTTACCATCAATGAAATCACGGGCTAAAACGTAGCTACAAGCACCAGCATATTCATAGAACTTCTTGTCGAAAGTCATGTAGTGTTGTTTTCCAACGATCATGGCATGAGCTGTAACAACGATTAAATAATCTGGTTAGGCACGATACTTTAAAACAGCAAACGCAGACAGGCAAGTTGGCATGTATATAAAAGAAATTATACACAAGTTTGCACTGCAAATACCAAATTTTATTAGTACGGTGCTATAGAACCTGTGCTCACACAATACATATATGATCGCAACAAGTCATTTTTTCATGACCAGTATTCAAAAAATGCTACGTTTGTTTTTATATGTGAGCATCTACCAGATATGTGCTTCTGATTGAGCAAATAAAGTTGTCAATTTTGAGGTGTACTTTGTGAATGTATTTAACTCACAATTTGATTATAAGCCTGGGAGGTCTGCCATTATAATAAAATTTACATTACAACTTACTTTTGAAGGGTGGGATCCAGTTGAAGACATCTAAAGTTGGCTTGAAAGTGTAGAAAAATTGATACAAGTCAATGTCACCCAGACCAGATAAATAGCAAGAGGAGACTGCATCGGATAAATCTTCTGGCAAGGTTTCGAATGAACGGATTTCTACTGGCAGTGGGATGGTGACAAACAGGTTACCATTCTCTGGCTCAAACTTGATGTATTTTTGTCTGTACTGCTTGATGTCAGTCAACATTCCCAGACCTTTAGTCAAGGTTTCATTCATTGCTCTCTTGATATTCTCCTCAACATTCCAGTATTTCACGGCCCATTTAGCCTGCCACAATAATAAACAAAGTAATCTTCATTCAAAGCTCTCTTTCTCAAAAAAAAATCAAATCTATGTTATCGATAGATAACCAACATGTCAAGATCACGATTCAACTCAGAACCAACAAATTTTACTTTAATTCTATTCACAAAATAAATGCGTATCATTTTTTTATCATTTTTTTTTACAAAATTTAGATGAGGACTTGTAGCCATTAGAAAAATTCATAAATACACAAAAGAATCTGGCACTGAAATAGGCCATATGCATGACCTCCAAAAGGTCACACATCCTGGTACTTTCTAGGGGTACAAATTCACTATCAGTTCAAATTTAATTATTATTTTCTCACAAAAATGCAAGCAGTTATCTTTGAAATTCAAAAACAGTTAAACATCGTAAAAATTGATGTAAATTATTGGAAATTGTTGCTGTGAAGGAACAAAATACCCCCTGAAAGTACCAGGATGTGTGACCTTTAGGGGTTATGCATAAGGCAAATTTTGACAGCCAATATAATAATATTCAAAGGCATATTAAGCAGTTACACGAAAGCTCCTATATAAATATTTACGTACAGAAGTCTAAGTTTCACGCAAGATTTCTGTGAGCAAATATATAACAAATTCATTACGATTTACATACCTCCTCAAGAACAATATAAGGCACCTCCTTCAGTTCCAGAAGAGAAACAATTTCTTCATATTCTGGCATTCTCTTGATCTCCTCAATTTTTCTGAGGGCACTGTAGTAGATTTCGTCATACTTTTCTTTGGATTCATCCACCCAGCTCTTGATGGTGCTTTCTTCCCAGCGACGTTCGATAGAGTTTCTTGCATCCTCAATATAGTAGTTCCATTTCTGTTTATATAATTGGTAGGTCACCTTTGCGCTTCTCTTGTACTCTTCAAAAATCTCTCTGGCTTCCTGCTTGAGCTCTTCAATACGAACTGTGAAGACATAGCAACAGTTTGACAGTTTGCACTGGTAAAAAGAGGCCTAAAATGAACTGTTAAAAAAGGTAGCACAGATGCATTCGTGTGGATGGGGTGATTAAAATCCCCCAAAGACAGATCGTTCGGGATTTAGCTTTTACACTCTGTTGGAGATGTGCTTCTAATGGAACATGTATATGCATATGATTTTCAGCCCCACTTATAGTCTTCTACACAGTGAAGAACAGTGGGAACATACTTGAAATTTGTATGGGTACAAACTGGTCTAAACTGGTATATCAAGAATGATTATGCACTTACTAGTCATTCTATTGTATTTATCTTTAATCTGATAAAACTTGGTTCTGTCCAGCCCCTCGTATTTCTCCTTGAGTGTACGTCTGACATCTTCCCACTTTCTTTCAATCTTTTCTCTAAGCTCGTCCCATTTATCTCCCAATTTCTGTTTATATTCGATGTATCTGATTTTCATGTCCATCTTGGTTTCTTCGTATTGACGTCTCATCTTCTCAACCATTGGTTTAACATCACTGTAGTATCTCTCCATCAGATCTCTCTTCACATCATCCAAGTATTCCTTCAACTCATCCAACTGTTCTTGCCAGTACTCCCTGATGTCTTCCAAGTCTTTCTTAGCCAGGTAGGAAACATCTTCCCATGCCTCTTTCACTTCCCCAACCACTGGTCTAATTTCATCGTAGTAGTACTCCTCAGAATTGTCCTTGATGTCACTCCAGGTCTTCTTGAGTGTTTCTTTCAACTCCTCTGCGTATTCCCTGCGGAAATCCTCGTATTTTTGTTCCATTTTGTAGAGGATATCGTTGTACTTGTCTTTGACAGTCTTCTGCATCTTCTCAAACTCTTCCTGCAGTAAGCAAAAACAGTTTTTAAATAAAGCCGTACTCAAAATGTAATAAAAACTTCTTATTATGCCAAGAATTTGAAAAGTTGATAGTCACATAATAATATTTTGAAATCTATCAATTTTCTGATGCATGGAGCCATAAATATTTGTACAGAACATTATAAACATATGGTATTACATAGGTTTGCGGAAAGAATAGGTAGTCCATATGCATTGTGTTACTGAAAATTGAAATCCCAGATAACATATTGAATTTTAAACTTTTTAAGAATAATTCAGATAATAAACCCATACAGAAAGCAGGCCTGGAACTCTATGGAGATATTCAAGACAACTGCCTTGGTGCCGAAACAGCCTTCGTGGCCTTAGAAAAATGTAGATAATTCCTACATGCTAAGTTGAGTCAGCTTGATGACTGCCGAGGAGGTTGGTCTTAAAGTACAAAAAAAGAAATTGTATGCGACTGTATTGGTGACTTGAGGCACAAAATGTTGTGGCCCTTGATTTTTTGGGGTAATTACATTTATTTTGTATATAAAATGTGAATTTCATTTCGCCAAATTCCATGACAAAAGTAAGTGTGAATTTCATATTGCCAAATTCCATGACAAAAGTAAGTGTGAATTTCATATTGCCAAATTCCATGACAAAAGTAAGTGTGAATTTCATATTGCCAAATTCCATGACAAAAGTAAGTGTGAATTTCATATTGCCAAATTCCATGACAAAAGTAAGTGTGAATTTCATATTGCCAAATTCCATGACAAAAGTAAGTGTGAATTTCATATTGCCAAATTCCATGACAAAAGTAAGTGTGAATTTCATATTGCCAAATTCCATGACAAAAGTAAGTGTGAATTTTATATTGCCAAATTCCATGACAAAAGTAAGTGTGAATTTCATATTGCCAAATTCCATGACAAAAGTAAGATATTTTTTTAAGAACATCATAACACTGTATAATTTTCTGTTACATCAATGATGTGCCAGCACAACTACTTGCATTACAGGAACCTTTTGCGTGGCGTTGGCACATTACATCTGGCACACTGGTTCTATTTAAATGCCCAACACTTACTCTGTATTCTGGTTTGTTCTCCTCATACAGCTCCTTGAGTTTCCTGTTAATTTCACTATACAGTCGCTTCACCTCTTCAATATTATCTTGATTCTCGTAGGTTATTCTACGCACTTCATCGTTAACCTTGAAATATACGTCCCAGTATTTCTCTTTCAAGACTTGGACGATTTCTTCATTCACAGTACGTTTTACAGACTCAGCCATGCGTTGGACTCTCTCCTAAAACATAAATGGTAAAAGTACAGTCATCAGGCTGGAAAACCTTCAACACAAGACACACTCACTCTCGAGCGAGACTACATTATGGCATTTATGCTTATCTATTTTAAAATAAAAACATACCTTGATTTCATATGGCATTGATGGGCGCCAGTAGAGACGGGTGTGCAGCAATTCGGATGTGTTGAGGCGAGTGTAAATCAGGCCATCGGTGATTCTTTCACCGTTAATCTTGCGGTGAGCTCTCACTTCAATAGCAGTTTTGTTCAAGAACTGGGCAGTGAAACGAGCATAGTCTTCGGTTCTCTCTACAGAACATTCAGAAAATAGCAGATATGAAATACAAAACTTGTAAGGATCTAAAAATGAGTACTGTAAAATCATTTATTTTCACTGACATTAAATTTTAATGTTTTTTATTCACTGTGTTTTAATTTCACGAATTTGTCAATGAAACAATGATTTTTTATTGTTATTTAACAAGTTCACATAGATTTAATTCAGCGAAAATAGCGAAATTAAAACCCAGTGAATAATTAATGCATTTACAGTCCTGTAAAATCTGTATCAGAAGCAATTGAGAACCAAAAATAGAAATACAAATAGAAATACAAACCTGGGTTGTGGTGAAGGGTAATTTCAAAAAGACGATCTCTGGTATTGATATCAATGGTATTAATCATTTCCTTGGTCTTATCAATGGTATTTTTCAATGTCATAAAATAGATGGAATGCTCAGAAGTAGATCTGTTTTCAAATCTTCCTTCCATTTTTAAGTTCTTCAGTGGATTTTCAGTCTGTGGGGGTGGTGAACAATCAAGTTACATGTTGGTTAATATCAATAGTTGTTAAAATATCAGTATTTTCATCACTTTTGAATGCTGTCCCTGGTTAATTTGTTAACAAAAAGATCACAAAATGAAGCTGCTAAGTACACCTCTCAAAGAGAAATTACAAATGAAGTTTCAATTTTATAAAAATTTAGCTGAAATTAAATTTGCCATTCAATGTGATTCTTGATCTTCCCATCCAAAATTCAAGGTGTGAATATTTTAAAATTTTGTGAAACTGTTAGTTAATTTTATCATCATTTTGGTCCATACAGACATTTTCAGATATTGCTTTTAATTTTTTTACCAAAACGTTAAATTTTTATCAACGTTTCATGTGGGAAAAGGAACAGAATGTACACAATTATTTTGCAGATGGTGTAAAAAGTTCACAATGACGTTACCAAGGGTTAAATTCCAGTGAAGCATTGGTGCCTCTACAGTATTAAATATTCTCATTACAGTACATACCTCAAGAATGAAAGTCTTGTCTTTCTTGTTGACTTGGCTGTTGAGTTTAACATTGTTGTACTTGTCCTCTTGTTTGTAAGCCAGATTGATGGAAGCACCATAGATGTCTTCAGACTTGGAAACCTCACTGTTGGCAAATTAACAAAATAGTCATTCAATGCACTCAATGTAACCTTTTCACTACCAGTTCCCTATTTTCACCACAAATTCACAAAATAGTCCCATTGTGAAAAAATAGCCAAATGTTTGGAGTAAAAACTGAATACTGATACAAATTTTGTCTGTTAGCTCCAAAATTAGGCATCATTTCCATAATCATTTAATGATTGGGTAAGTTTGTACAAAATAAGATTGTGAGTTGCATTCATTAATAAATCAGTAGATTAGATTTTACTCACTTATTCAATTCAATATCAACGTTGTTGTACAGATGACGAGCCTCAGTGATCAGAGCAAAGCGCATTTCTTTGAGAGAAGATTTGTTTTGAAGTTTGGTCAGGAAATAGATTTCCTTTTCCTTCTTTGGGCTGTATACAACAGATGTAGCAATGTTGAAGATGTCAGCACCATCCATGAATTTGGCTTCAGTGGTCAGATGGAGATCCTATTAACAAAACCATAACAGTTGAGAAAAACACATTTTTTTCTTTTTCTTTTTTCATTTATAAGATTAAGATTAATTGAACACTTCTACAAATACCTTTAAAAAAAATATTTTTTTTTTTATAAATAAAAAAATAAGTTTGAATTTTACTAACCTCTTCCAGTTTTGGATGCTTGAAGATAATGTCAATCAAATGATGTTTCTTGATAGTAGTAGTGAAGTTGTGATAGACAGTCTCAAAGCTAGTTTCCTTCTTATCATCCCATTTGTAAGTAACCTAGCAACAGAAACACTGACATCATTAACACAATATGAACAGCAGACGATAACCTTTAACTTTTTCACCATCGGACTTTCTCACCTAAATTTGTTTGCACTCTTTTATTATATTCTTCAATATTTTTGGAAATAAACTCTAGACAAAATGCGAGTCAATTTTCAGTTTTTACTAAAAAAAAATTGACTATTTTTATTCCCAAAAAGAAGTGCATACTATAAACAGGACTATTATGTGATGAAGTCAATGGGGCTGACAGTAGTAAGAAATTTAAAACAGCAATTGTCAAATATCACTGTTCAGATTTTTAAATTACTGTACTTGCTCTATTTGAAGTGCATAAAACCCCCAAATTGAATTTGTTGTGAACTTATTTGTTTTATTGTGACTTATTTTGATTATAGATAAATTTCAATCCTTATTCATACACATGCATTACTAATAGATGGTATGTAATTATTATAAGTTCAGTTTTTTTCATATTTTGTGTATTATTTGGTGAGAAACACACTAGAAATGGAGATACAAAGAAGTAGCTTCTCCTATAGGTTTAATTAATTCAGCTAATGATAGGAAAATGGAACTTAAAGATGCAAGGTGTCTGATGGCTACTACCAGATTCTCAAAAACAATGTTTATTGCATTATATTAATATCACAAATTGACTGCCACGATATTTACCTTTCCTTGTTTCTTTTCTGACGATCTGAACAAGTTCAATGTAATTTCTGGCTCACGTGGGATTAAAGGTAGTTCAACTGGGTGCTTCAGCTTCAGGGTGATATCAAATTCTTTTTCATCAGTGCTGGTAATATGTTTGCAACTTCCTTCCAGGGATACTCGCTGGTCTCGTTCTTTACGTCCCCATTGCAGTTCAACATCACCGCTATATTCGTCATTGTTGCGTTCCAAATTACCATCAATCGTGATAGATTTCAGAGGATGTTCAGATCTCAGGGGGCTTTCCAATTTGACGATCAGTTCACGGCGGAAGTGATGCTCGGATAAACGTGGGATTGTGTGGACAATTTCCATTTCAATCTGAAATGTACAATAAACACATATTAGTTGTAATATTGATAGCAAAACTGTGAATTATACACATGGTCTTGAGAATATCTAATTAAATAAAGCCTTTAAAACAACACATCCTCATACAATTTAGAGAATAAATTGGTATAAAATAAAAAATATAAGCAATATTTTCAAGATTAACAAAGTTTACCTTCTTATCCAAAGAGTACGAAAGCTTGCTTTCTAAGTTGAAGTTCTTTTCAGCATGTTCAAGGTGGAACTTGTAGTCTACTGGTCTGGTCAGATGTCGGTCACAGTTAAGATGGAAGGTGGCATCATGTTGCAGTCTACGCTCACTGGTTCCGTTGACATAGTCAACATCAACACTGAATTCGCTATGTCCATCAAGCTTAATTTCCAACTTGCTGCTGAGGTCGCGTTTTCCTTTCTCACCGTTCAAGGAAACAACAACAGTCTTCTGTGGGTGAGTGATAGTGAAAGTGATCTCATGGTGGTTCTTGTCAGCATTAACTGGTGTCTTCTCGTATACTACTTCAGTTCGCATGGTCTTCGTTGGCTCCCATGTCAGATCAAATCTGGTGTTGTAGCGACTGGTTGTATTATCATGATGTACAAAGACAGACATCTGACGACTTGGGTGCTCCAGTCTGAAAGTACCTTCTATCTCGGTGTGATACCTTTGGCTCTTGTTGTTAAGGTTCAGATTCATTCTCAACTTCTTACCATTGTTCCACTGGAAAGACATCTCGGATGATAAATCTTGCTTGGTCTTCTCCACTGTGAATTCAGATGTGATGGTACGTCTTGGAGTAGTGATATCCATGGAGATCTCGTGGTGGAAGCTGTCATCGGTGGTGTAATTTCCATAGCCTAAGGCGACAGTCATCTCTTTCTTTTCTCCGATCAGTGGTGTGTATTTGTATTCAGTCGCAAAAGAATATTCTCTGTCTTTTCTCTGAACAAAGCTAAACAGATGAAGTTGGCGTTTTGGATGGCGGAAGTTAAACTCCACTTCATGACGAGCATTTCTCTCTTCACCGGCATCTTCATAACGGCTTTCAACTGTGAAAGATTTCTCTGTGGAATATTGGACAGTAACTTCACTCTGATACAGCTTGGTGGTGTTTTCAAGGTTCACAGTCAGCTGCATGTCACGGAAGAGACGGAATGGTGTGTTGAACTTAACGATTCCTTCATGCTGGGACTTTCTGTTATTGCCTTGGTTGTTGTATTCTGTTTCAAATGTGATGACTCTATTGGGGGCATAGGTAAAGCTTGTTTTGGCATCGGCGTGGCGACTGTTCTTGTTCACATTGCCTTCGAGAATAATATCACGTCCTGGATAACTGAGCGTAATTCTACTGTCATGCTTCAACTCGTTGCTGTTTGAGTTGTTGTTGTATTCACCTCGGAGAGTAACTCTCTTGTTTTGTTCCCATTCAAATGTAGTCAAGCAGACATGGTTGAGTGGTCTCACCTCCTCGTACTCGTGGCGCAAAGATACTTTACGGGATGGGATAGTCACTTCAAATTTGCCGTTCTTCTTCTTCAGTGAACTGGACTCATCTCTCAATTCAAGGAGCATGCCCAACTTCTTTTCTTGTCTGTATTCAACATTGAATTCAGACTCCAAGTACTGTTTGGTATGTTCATGTTTCTGGGTAATTTTGACGTCAAAGTCGTAAGCTGGATGTTTAAGTTCTGCATTCAAATCGCCTTTGGTTACATAAACATTGCTTTCATTCTTCATTTCAAAGTTCAAAGTGATCTGTAAAAATGAGAATTAAACTGTGAATTTCATGTAAATTATACAAATGTACAATAAAAGCAGACATATATGCCGCCACAATAGCTTTAGCAGAAATGGAGACATTAACATCACCAATTTTGTTAGTTCTAGTACATCCTTCCCTCACCTTTCTCTCTCCCTCACCTCTCTCCCTCTCAATCCAGTTCCACACATATTCCGATAAAATGAAAATTTGAGGCTTAAGTAGATTTGGCAATATATCAAATACCATCAACTACCCAGGAGCACCAATTCATGTGCATTTGTAATAGTGTTTGCATAATTACCGTTTTAGATTCATCATTGCAGGTTCTGGGACCATAGCACCAAGTCAAATCCAAGCTTCCAAGTTTGCGTTGAGCTCCCTTGATGATTGCTTCACCTTCGTAGTTGTTATTTGGATATTGAGACATGGACATACTTGTGGTGTACTCATAATGGTTCACTTGCTGTTAAATAAAATAAACAATCTTCATAAATTAAAAGCATTAACATAAAGAACTTGGATGTAAAATTTGAACAAATGACATGTAACAGACGTTGCCCAGAACACCCTTCCATTTACTTTGATGTTTGTCGTTTTAGAGTTGATAGTTCATGTTTAACCTTTTCACTAACAGACTTTCTTGCCCAAATTTTTCAGCACTTTTTTTTGTATTCTTTCATATTTTTGTCCCAATCGTCTGAAGCAAAGTGTAGACTATAAACAGGACTATTTTGTGATGAAAAGGGGGAGCTGATGGGGAAAAGGTTAAATTAAACTAGGATTAAGTCAGGAGACACAGCAGCAGAGTTATTTTACCTCATCAGTTCTGTCACGGAAGATACTAGACCAGACCAGAGTTTCAGTTCTCTCACTTCTAGGGGTATATCTCAATTCAAAATCGTTTGAGTTGTAACGAGAGTTATACTTAAAGACATGGCTCATTTCAAGATTAATCTTGGGATGGCTGAATGTTGCATCAGTAGTGATCTTTTTCTTGTCATCTTCTTTAGATAATGATGTGCGACCTTAAAAGAGAAAAGACATATATAGCTCCATTTATCCATCAACAACATTCATATCTCGTGATGATTTATCACAGAATTTTCTCCATTAGTCCATATAACCTATATACTTGTTTACTGAATCATTCAAATATTATTTATTTTGACAATAGAAACACCTCTGTTTTTAAGGCATTTACAATTTTGCTAGGATAACACAGGATAACAAATGTCAATATTGTTAAATAAATGGTGCATTCACATAAGAACAACAAAAATAATTGAGACCAAAATGACCTGTACTGTACTTACCAACCAAAGTGATCTTAGGTTCATCAGTTCTTTCGAAACTCATATCCACATCTACCATCTGTTCTGGTTGGTGTGTGACGGTTCCTCTCAAGGTGGTATATTTCATCATGGGTACGCGGATCTCAACGGTTGGCTGGTACCTGGTTTCATATCTGGTGCTATCAATGGCCACTTCAGCATTGGTGACAAATTCCTTCTCATTGTTATAGTTGAGAGTGAATTCTGCTCTCTTCAGAGCATCCTCATTAAGAATCTTATGGTGAAGAGAGGCGGTCTTATCAAGAGCTTCCATGGACATATCAACAACAAAGCTCTTGAGCTTTTGATGAGCGATTGTACCGCTCAGGGTCATCTTCTTAAAGTCTGTGATCTGGACTGAGAAATCTGGAGTTAATTTAAGGTAGTTTTCCTCCTTTTCAATACCAACTTCAGCATTGCCGGTGACACGTTTCTCGTTATTATAGTTGAAATCTAGTTCAAACTTCTTTGAGGACTCTCGGTTGAGAAGTGTGTTCTGCAGAGTAATTCTTTTACCGAAACCAACTGCGGTCAGATCCATATCCAAGCTGCGTTGTTTTTGGTGGGTGATGGTACCACTCAGAGTAATTTCTTTACTTTCTGGGAGGCGAACCACTACAGATGGTCTCATACGTAGTTGATCTCGTTGTTCTTCGAAGCTAATTTCGGCTTCAGTGCTGTAGCGTTTTTCGTTGTTATAGTTGAGATCCAATTCAAGTTTCTTCAAACTCTTTTCATAGGTCAATTTGTTCTTCAGATTGACTGACTTGCCCATACCTTCGATGTTTGCATCAATGTCTAATCTAAGGTCCTTCTGGTGATCGATGGTACCAGTTAGTTTTATGTCCTTCAGCTCTGGACAGATGATCTCAACGGTAGGTTTCAAAATGAGACGATTGTCAATTTTATCAATTTTGACTTCGGCGTTTGTAATGTATTCTTTTTTGTCATAGTTGACATTGAACTCCACTCTCTTCAGATCATCTTCGTTGACAAACTTGTTTTTCAGAGTAATCTTCTTCTCCATACCTTCTGCAGTTACGTCAATGTCTATGCTGCGACCCTTCTGGTGAGTGACGGTGCCAGTCAGAGTTATCTCTTTCATTTTTGGGAGGCGAATCTGTACAGATGGTCTGTAGCGGATCTCGTCATAGTACTTCTCAATAGAAACCTCAGCATTGGTGAACAGCTGTTTCTCATTGTTGTAATTGATGTTCATTTCAACTCTCTTCAGGTTTGTCTCGTTGGAGACTTTACTTTGAATGTACGTCTTCTTACCAAATCCATCCACAGTCAGATCAGCTTCTAGACTACGTCCCTTATTATGGGTAATGGAGCCAGTTAAAGTGACGTCGTTTCTGGAGGGTATACGGATCTCGATGCTTGGCATGTAGCGTGTCTGCTCAGAGTCTCTATCAATTGAGATCTCGGCATTAGTGGTGTATTCTTTCTCGTCATTGTAGTTGAGTTTTAGTTCAACTCTCTTCAAGTCGGTCTCATTGACAATCTTGCTTTGGAAGGTTAACTTCTTACTGAGAGACACCAGATCAATGTTGACAGCCTTTTGTGCACGGTTCAACACAACATCTACAGAGTGAGTGCGTGGGATGCGAGTTCCTGGGGTACCAATCATGAAGCGAATAATATCACTTACTTCAGTCTTGAAGTTGACACGTTTCTGAAGATCAAAACACATACACAAAGAGTGAAATTAGAGAAATAGATCAATAATCACAAAGATAATAATCTAGACAATTACAGGATGATAAGAAACACTTGACTGTTACCTTCTGTACTTGATATTTGGCTTCCATCTCGTAAGACATCAGGGTTCTGTCGACCTTCTCAAGAGTGACTTTAGCACCGAATGGTCCAGTCAGTGGGAAGAATGGAGCTTCAACCTGTATGGAATGAAAAATTATAACCAAAATATCAAAAATACACGTATAAACTTTTCCTACTTCATACATGTTGTATAGCTCAGTAATTTTCAATAAGTTTTCTTGGGAAAATGAATGCATACCTTGTGAGAAGCATTTGGGTATCTCAGTTCACCACACAATTTGACACCAGCCCATTTCTCTACAATCTGTCCAGAGCATTTGTTATGTTCACGGTAGTTTTCTCTGATACCTGACAGTTCCATTGGGTACTCACTGTTCAGTAAGTACAAGGTGTTGCTGGACAGTGAAAAAATATGATATTAAATTATTTATATTATTACATACTGAAATGAGTTTGTGATGATATCAAAATTTAATTCATACAATATTTTGTGAAAACTGTATTACTGCTTCAAACTACCTAAAAATCAGGCAATTATGCAGTAGTGATCTGAATTCCACTGGAATCTTGAGCCAGATAGTGAGAGGCTTTCTCAAAATATTGTCCTGACTAATTCCCTTAACTAATTGAATAGTGATAATTCCTTGAAGAGAAAATTAAATTAAGCTTACCTAACATCAATGATATCAATACGGTTGTCAGGAACATTAAACTTGACCTTGAAACTTTCACCGCTATCCAATGAAATGCTGCCATCTAAGACGGTGGAAGAGTGCATGCGAGTGCGCATTCTCAGACCAGTACGTGCAACAAAAGCGTTGATGCTCATTTCGCTGCTGACTTCAATTACTCCACTGTGAATGAAAGATAAACAACAGATATGAAACAAAAGTCGCACCAACATTCATCGTTTTTGCAGAGTATTTATCCGTACATTAGAGAAAACCATGTACATAATTATTTCACCATAAAATGCATAATGGCAAATAGTTTGTTTCAAAGGAAAGTACAAACCTTGGGCGGATCATACCAGTGACATTCAGACTTCTTGGCGCCACTGCAATTTTACGGAGATCGACCTTACCACTGAGTTTCAGATTGACGGAGGCAGTGCTGTTGACAGCTATACTCAAGGGGAATCCACAAATAGTTGGAGTGACAAAAGAACTCTCCATAAGGATCATATTCTTAGTGAATTCTCTGGTTTGTTCATTGGACAACTTGATGAGAAGCTCTAACAGATTGATGGATTCTTTCTCTGGTTGCATCCAGTCGATATCTTGGAAGTCAATGAAGGACATTTCATTGCCGAACATTTTCAGATACATACTTCCCTTTGGTTGATCCTCGCGTTTAGCATTAAACTGTAAAAAAAAATATCAGATGACATTTACATAAATTGTCATAATAACAAAACTTGAGTATTGATCACAGTTTACAATAATGTCACAAAGTTTTCACAGAAGATAAAGATAACTTACTCTATCATTCAGGTTGTCTAGTTTGCTTGGTTTGATGGCAGAACGCTTAACAACGCGATTCTCCTTTGCTGGTTTAACCATATCCAACAGGCTGTTATCTGGGAAGTAACCATTGGGTCCAAAGAATTTCTCCAGAAGATAATCAAGACCTTCAACACGGCCACCAAACTCAAACAGATTGATGGAATATCCAAAAAGATCAGTGGTCATGTTCAGCATACCGGAACGTGGAACGTAAGATTTTGGTGAGAAGACAACGTGGCTCTCAATGGTACCTCCAACATTCAGTTTTTCTGTGAATCAAATATACAAGAGTATTTTATAGAACCTGTTTTCCAGTTTGTACGAATTACACACCACCCAATGATATATCTGTAAGCATCGTAAAAACTTCATGAGAAATCTTATCCAACAAAATCCTCACCAGAAAAGAGAGTTCCCTCTAAAGCGCGTGAGAACTTCCTTGGATCCTTATTGAAATGCTTCATGAGTTTTGTATCTCTGACCATCTTGCGGAGTTCTTGTTTCATTGGGTCATCAGTTTCATTCAGGTTTGTCAGATGGCTCCATACAAAGGATCCAACTACGGAGAGACACATGGAAATTGTAAATGACTACAACCACCATCTCTTCATTATTATTATTTTGGGGTAAGGAAAATAAAATAATAAAAGATTACAGTAGACAATTGAATAAGTAGCACATATTTGTACAGCTATCCAATCCTGCAAATTCTAAGCAGTACCTACCCTGGTTGCTGTCTTCCTTCTCAAGAACATTATAGATTCTTTCGAACAGTTCTGGAGTTGGGCATTTGACAATGGAAAGGTAGGTAGCAATGCGTACTTCAGTGTCAACTTCTGTCTTCTCGAAAGTTTTGATCAGCTCTTCACGCTGTGAGATAAGAAATTCATGAAATTTACACTTTAAGAGATGGCGATGAGATTCATTTTCAATCCACACAAGTTAATCATCCCTACTAAATCATACATACTAACAGATTATGATAAGTCGTGAGATTACTTACACCTTTCTTCTCACATGGCATGCGACGGAAAGCCTCAACAGCAGCGAGACGAATCTCAATTGGGTTTTCTTCTTCCTGGAAGCAGCGTGTCAAGGTGTTAGTGGCACTGCTGATTTTGCCACTGTTTGCAAGTGCTTTCAGAGACAGGATGATCTGAAGAGTGAAAAAAAAAGTAGGCATTCAGTTGTCTCTTTATTGCAAGTTGCTATGTTAGTATGTAATCATTTGAAACTCTGAAGTGCTGGCAGCGATAGAGATCTACACCTAGTTGGCTGTACTGCATATGCTTAATGGCAATATTGACCCATATACCATGCTATAACATAATACAGAATGTCAGTAAAAATATTTTAGTCACCTTGTTATGTTCATCTTCATCACTTGGAGAACACTTGTATCCCAAGTTGTTTTCAAACAGTCTCAGAGCCTCAACAACTTCACTTTCTCTAATACACTCTCTGTTCTCAGTCTTGCAGTATTTGTGAATCAATGTAGACAGAGATAGGTAGGTGCTACGGCGAGCTTTGCTGTACTGAACCAATTCCTATTCAGGATAAAAATATCAAACATTAGTATAAGTATTATTCACTCTTTTCGCTACATTAATTTCTCAATTTTTCCACAAAGTTATTGCCAATGCTGTCTGTCATATTTTGCCCAGTTTTAGGTACTTTTGTATACTTACATTATTAATTTTCAAACAAATATAAGTCTACTTCAGAATTTGTAAAAAATATTGATAAGTTTATACAGGTTAATTTTGGTTAAAGATGCCAAAACTAAGATACCAGTATTCAATGGTAATTTGAGGGTTTCAATTTAATATACTCACTTTAATTTCACCGATCATTTCTTTTGTTGGATGAGAAATGAATGAAAGTGAAGTCATCCACATATCGGCATCAATGTCTTTAACCTCCTCGGAGCGGATCTTCTCCTTCATAAAGCTTACAGCACCGGTGGTACTCATCATTGGAATGGCATCCATGAAAAATTTTCTACAGAAAGAAAGTTTGAGGATAAAATAATGAGCGATATTCGGACAACAGACTCTGTAATCTCCCACTTGCCAACACAGACGAAATTTCTTAAACTTGTCTAATCTTATATTCACAAGATATCAAAATGACAGCACAGTAGACGAGAGTAGGTGAGATATAGAAATCCACAAAAAGGCAGAATTAAACTCACTCAATCTTTTTTTGATTCCTTGGACATATTTTTCTGTCTTTGATGTCATTGTGGACATTGCGCAGGCCATTGAAGTTCAGTTTACGCATTCTGAAGACAAGCTTGGTAAAAAGCTCAGCAACTTCTGGGCGGGTGTCTCTATCAACTTTCTGGCAGATTTCAGTCAAGACATCTCTTACTTGGCTCTGATCAATGTCATCAGTGTGTGGTTTAGGTTTGTGCTCAAAAACAAGAGTCTTCTTTTCACGCACCTGTCTTTCCAGTTCTGAAAAAACAAGATAGATAAATTGAACTGAAGTTTCATAAAAGAAAATCTGTTAAACTCCAAAAGCATACATTTGTGGTTACATAAATTTCACTTCTTAACTTATGGACAGCATGGGTACCGGGGTAAGTGCCATCATTGTCAAACTGTACTGTATTTGCTTTATTATTATAGCATTACAGTCAAAATAGGTCATATTTATATGATATATCATACACTAAATGCAAATTGCCGGTTTATGTATGCTTCTATTAGAGATTCGGTTCTATTAGAGATTTGTTTCTAATGAGGCAAGTAAAGTACATATTTTGCACTCTGAAAAATTAGACATTAGACACAAACATGGATTTTATAAGCACAGTATGCTGAGAGACTAATAAAACACAGTTGATGAATCAATGCACGTCGGAGTAGTGTCATTGTACTTGTTTTATCTCAGGGGATAAAAATACAACGGCTATAGTGATTAATTGTGTGATTTTAAAAGTGCATACTTACTGTATGAGGAACCACTCCTGTAAGATACATCAACAAACTCCAGGGAAGTTCTAACTTTAGTGATAGCACCACTGGTATGGTTGGCAAATGGACGGCTGATATGTCTTTCTTTGCAAACGACACGCTTGACAAGATCATCCTGAATTTCTTGTGTGCATGACTGACCACTATTGATGAGAGACTCGGTGGGCTGTAAAAAAAAAAATATACAAATTAAATCAGTAATTTGGGAATCTCAATTTTAATTCCGTGAAACAAATGCATTAAAATGTACAAAAATCATGAAATTTTGTAACAATGAAAAATTCACAGGGAGCTCAAAGACACAGAGTAACAGCGCTTGATCAAATCGTGAAAAATTGCTAGCTGAGCAAATTACTAAATACTTACAGCACGTGGATCATAAATGTCACTCTGGATGGAAGATTCAATATAATGACGTTCACTACATCCCATGAAGTCCTTGGTCTTCTGGATGGTCAGCTTACCGTAGTAATCGTGTTCTGCCTCATATTTAGTTGGGCATGAACCAGTCACATCAGTCTGGCAAAAAAAAAGTCAGAAATTATTAGTTGGAAAAAAAAAAAAATGAGGGAAGCTGTCAATCCTAGAGATCGTACCAGGAAATCGTTAGATGCCATTGTTTATGTTGTTTACAGTTATTGATTGTCTTTTGTTTCCCAAGAACTAGGATATCAATCTACATAATCTCTAATAGATACATTCTAAATACAAAATTAGCTCTAAAGAACATTTCCTGTTATACCCTGGGGATTAAACAAGTTGATAATTAGTAATGGAAATCCATAAAATATTAGCTACCTTAGCTAATTCTTAATTATCGCAAGAATGATAATAACTGTTTTTAACTTTTTCACCAACAGTTTCCAATTTTCATAACAAATTCACAAAATACTCCTATTTACAGCCTGCACTTTCCTTCAGAAGATTGGGGAAAAAAATAGCCAAATTTTTGGAGTAAAAACTGAACAATGACCTAAATTTTGTCTGTTGGCTCCAAAATTAAGGTTCATTTCCAGAATTAATGAAGAATACAAGAAAAAAAGTCCAGAAAAATTAGGGCGAGAAATTCTGCGAGTGAAAACGTTAAATTCAAGATAAATATATAAAAGACAATTTTTGGGGGAAAAAAATGATGTAATTTTTGACAGTAATGTACTGTTGAAACTAGAATGGTTATCAGTACTGTAGGGAGGTTCATACTACAGCAATGTAGAAAATTATTTTTAGCATATTAAATAACACTAATATTATTTTACCTCAAAAGCAGACTCCTTTTCTTCTTTCAAGTAAGATGCTTGGAAGTGTGACAGAATAGCACGCTTGATGTTCAAGGACCATGTTGGCTCTTCCACATCCGAGCACAACTCTGGGATCTCACCATCTTGGAAAGAGAACATGAGAGGGCGCTCTTCAAGAGTGTCTCTAAAATGTTCCACTTTCTCACGATGAAGCATTTCATTGCTTGGAGAGTCCTGGTCAAGTCTAACATTTTTAAGCTGTTAAGAAAACAAAAATAGTTTTAATCAAATGAATTATAGTTTTCACTAAGTTATAAGGTAGTAAATTCAGATGAATCCAAAAAATACATTTTCAACAAAATTACCAAAGAAGCTTAAACAAGTTTAATAATATCAAATTGTGGTACACACAGTCAACATTTTTCTGATTTTATTTCTATATTTCATTACATCACATTGATAATTAGATTAACTTACATTTAGACTCAGTTCACATTTGTTGAGAACATCAATTTCAACATCACAGCTGACTCTAAGACCAGACTTGTCTGGAGTAGTGCCATTGATGTAGCTTGACGTCACGGAATTGTATTTGTACTTGTATGTCCTGTCTTGCACATACCTGAGATTGTTACGCTCTAGAGAGAAAAAAAACAAAAATAACATACCTTAAGAGATTGAATATTAGATCCGTGGGTGGGTAAACTACTGTTTTCACGATGAGATGTTATTTTTTTCTGCAATTTTCCCAGTATTTTTTTGCATGTAGTCAATTTTATTTGTATTATTCAATGCCTCGTTCTTTCAAGTTTGAGTGAAAGGCAATGATTATAACAAGCCATTGTCCTAAACCAACGTCTCGCATTTTTGCAGTAACTGGTGCTCATCATTTTCGGAGCGAAGCGGACGACAAATTCAATGGCAAATGCCGGCGAGAGTGGCATCGACGGCCAACAACAGAACAGTCAACCCAACACGAAACGATGTGATCAAACGACGAGAAAATCGTTTGTGATGAAAAAAACAGTATAGGGATGTTATATATTTCATGTCCATGCGGAGTCTTATCACGGTCTTCATAGAAGAAAAACTTTCCATAAGTTTTTACACTAGTCCAAGTAAAACAAAGGGACGAATTGAAACACCCGCCATCTTGAATGAATAATTTACCCGAGATCCTCTGCACGACCCAATTCAAGTCACGTGACTATAACTTGGTCAAACTTTGCTCGATGGCCATTTGTTGATGGACCCATTGTATGCAAATGAGAAGAATATGCTTGATGATAAAAGTGCCGATAAAAGAAAGACATGACAGACTTCAATGCAAATAGGAAAGAGATATGTCAATCAAAAGCTAGGCTTTTGTCAACTCAATTATAAATAAAGTGATTGCGCTTTGGTAAAATGGGAGTGTTTTGAGTTAAACCGATTCAATGCAAATGAGATTGAAATTACACTTTGAACTCGTCTTGTTTACGGCTTTCATCGTCAAATCTCCAACGTCCCGCTGGGCGATTAAAAAACAGCTGCTCGAAGTAGATAGTTCTTGAGATAAATTGGCAGTGCCCACTCGGTTGACAGTCCGCTACTATCCCGTCATTGCCCTGGGGGGAAAATGGTCAATCTCAACCAAAATACACTTACCGGTGCATTCTCTTGCGCATTTCTCTGTTCCTGATCGCAGCGGACCTGAAAGATTGAACGATTACCTGTATTATTATTAGAATAATGTTTCTTTTGCAGTAGATTATCGGTTATTTATGATAAAAAATGACATGTACAAGTGTTTTGACAGATTATTACAAGGCCGTAAGTAGGGTCGTGTTTAAAAATCATTTATAAAAAAAAATCATGCAAGACACTTAAAGACAGCAGATATGCGAGTTCCCAGTGAGCATATGCACAAGGAGGTTGTTTTGATAATCGACACTGGTAATTAATGCGCACAGACAGCGGAGTTGATGACCTGCAGAGTAGATCGTCTTACAGCACAAAAAATCCAAAACAAACCAAACAGAAAAAATGCACTTCGAAAAAAATTACGATGCAGCTCACACACGTCGACATTAAAAAACTAAAGATTAAAGAGGAACAGAATTACAATGCAACAAAAGAATGGATAAAAGGGAAGCTATCCTTCGTAGATGATCAATATAGTCAACTATTCTTCCGAAGTTGAGTGAGGATAAAAATGGGATAAAAGCTAAATGCGTATTTTTTAAATACGTAGACAGCTGCACATTTCCTTACCTGCGAAGGTACCGGCGATGACCGCTAAAATCACGACTGTTCTAAGCTCCATGATAATTCAGGCCTCAGAACTTCAGATCGGCCAAAGAGAAAACTACCAACTGCTTTCCTCTACATACAATTGATTGCTTATATACAAAGGAGGACAATAGAAGGTCAAAAGTCGTCGGAATAATCAGTGCCTTTGATAGACCTGATGTAAATTTTGTGCTGACATTTCGGAAATATCAGCGAATCACAACGCCGCGGTTAGCTCGAATCGATTCATTAGCATATTCGTGTTATCTTCGTCGAAATAAATAGACAGTCTTGCAAATTTAAGTAATTTCACAATAAGTTTCACCATTACGAGCACGTGTGGGAAAATGTGCATTATCGACAGAATGCAGCCTTCATCAATTTGAAGTGTACTCCCGGGTTACCAAGGAAACTTGACGCTCCGACCTTGAGGGTTGTTTTGCTGGGATGGTAATTTGAGGCGCAGTTTACAACAATGGCTACCATTGATGAATATATATGAAAATACACACTTTTCTAAGCTACGAGCTTCCTAGCTGTGATAAATTCAACCCTCTTACTGAAATCAGAAATACTATTACTTCTTCCCAAATCTACTGACTCCTAAACTATAATATAACTTTGAAAAGAGCCGTCGATATAAGACATCACTACAACTCGAACTCTGGTGATCATGCCGCGGTCATACCCTACGCAGTGCTTCATGTTCGGATAGTCGTTCAGATGTTGTGTGGGGGCAACTTGATCTTGTCATTTCCATTTGGCGGATGTCTTTCTTGATTTGGATAACTTAAGACACGGGAAAAAGACGTCACATATCATTAATGTCTCATCTACAGCCATGAACTAACGAATATAGGAGATTATGCAAAAGTAACGGAAAAAGTATGTTATCGCACGCTGTCAACAGCACAGTACATCGTACAATGCATCCAGTACAGCGATCAATTAAACACAATGATTAAAATAAATTTAATACAGTTAGTCAAAACAAATACATTAGAATCGCATTTCGATTCCAGATAAGCCACTACCTCCAATGCTTACGCAATTATTGTTTTTTTCCTTCAGTGGCATACTTCTATTATTCCCACACGATGAATTGTATGACCATTACATAAAAATATAAGTGAAAAATAAAACCGTAAAGATAATTCACTGAATAATAAAGTATAGTTGTCCTTATTATATTAATTCAATATCGTAGTTTAACCATATACCGATTATTTGATCGGGCCAAAGTCAATAAATAAATGTATCCGGCAAACTGCCACATTTGTAACTTATAAAACGGGTAACGGCCCGGGTGATATTGCCCTTATATACATTGGATTGCTGGTTGTAAGACAGTGCCTATTTTTGTCTCAATAGTTTAACTGATTGTATACATGTATTTTATCTTGTTAGTATGCCAATTATAAAACCAAATTCGACGCTAAATCAGATACTAGTACTCCCACCCGGCGGGACTGGCATCTGCGAAAAAGTAGAACTTGAACTTTTTCTGACTCTTCCACGGCAGTGTCCCGAACATGTTGTATACTGCCCAGATTTCTCTAGTTGTCAGATTTGTATTGAATTTAACAAGAGTTAGTATAGTGTTCACACCATGATACTTTGAATAACTAAACAACGTGGGCATCACTGATATGTTTTCAAGTTTGGAGTTCGCAGATATACTATAATGGCCGCCATTTTTTTGCGCGTATAAAGGGGAGACAGAAAAAAAGTCACAGAAACAAGTACTGTGACCCGTCGTTGTTTTGTTAAATTTCAAACTTACGTGACACAGAAAATAAAAGACAAACGTATTATGGTAAAACTATAAGTATAGTTAGTTTAAGTTAGTTATGAGTTATTATTTTATGAAATTTCCGACATTTCCATAAAATTGCCTTTGCCGAGACGCACCAATAATTAGATTAAATACTAAGTATGATTTGGTCGTCAGTGTGTTATCGGTGTTAATTGAGAGGCGTTATTGTTGACATTCATACTTTTCCCATTAAACAACTTGAAATAAACCATAACCATTATACGAAAACCAAAATTAAATAAACATTACTAATGACCATAGCTAATCAATGATGTACACGTGTGACATGGTAAAGTCAGCTACAGACATTCCACCGATGTGGATGTGATTTCATGTTATCGCTACATAGATAAAAACGGGCAAAGTTGAACGAAGGGTGCAATGTTTTTGACGCACATATCGACATTATCCGGTGACAGCAGGTTTGATAAGAGATTACACCCAACACAAACTGTTGACATTACGTGACATATGTAGATTGCCGATTAACTGCTAGTACTGGAATTTTCTATCAATATCGATCATTGCCCGTTTTTTTCGATTTTTAATCTCATTTAATTTAACTGTTAAGCTGTGTTTGACCAATTCATTGGAAGTTAATCACGACGTCACCCCTGACTAGTCTCGCGCAACGTTCCGAATATTTGTATGCCATTGTATGCCATTGAATAAAACAAAAAATATTTACAACTTTATTGCAAGATATCAAATGAATGATACAAGATATAGGCTGAGAAATATTTCTCTAAAACTGCTATGCTCGTAACCTAAGTGTCTTCCGAGCTAGTATGACACTGTACTAGTAATGTATGTAAACGTGCATGCAGGTGAGAAGTGCGAGGTCTGTATTGTATATACAAACTCTCATACTAGAGTCATACGAATGTCCAATCGTTACATTTGAACATGTTTGTTCAAATCCCCTATTCCGTCATCACTGTTTGACAGTGATCAGCAACCCTACTATGCTAAAGAATTCACGTGACGTCTCGATAACCCAGCAAATCTGCCGTTTATTTTTTAAATACCGTACAAGCAGCGTCAGGTACGGTTTCTCGGTGAAAGATGGTGATACCGATGTACCGATGCAAGTCATACATGTAGAGTAATTTCGAGATTGTCCCATTTCATAAAATCGTTTCCAGTACTTATTTCACTTCACTTAAAGTGAATTAACTTGAAGAAAATTAAAAATCATTAACAGAAGCAGTAAATGATTGAATTTAAAATGATTTCAACATGTTGTCTTTGGGACAGTAGCTCTTAACATCCCATGCGCAGCTTCGCACTAGTTTGCCAGTAGCCGTATGGAATCCTAGGACTAAATAAAACAACGCCCTGGATCTGTGATGAGTAAATTTGCAATATAATGTCATAGAATTAGAAAATTAATGCAAAGAAGAAGAAAACAAAATTTTTATCGATCACATATTTCATTATTGGTGATGTCACGGTAGCAACTTGATTAAAGTTTTTAAAAAAGCTTTAGAAGCCACACGTTTTGCTTCACTTAGTATGTTTTAGTCTTCCCTCAGAATAACAACCAGTCACACCCGGAATTGGTTGTTGTTGGACTGTTCCAAACACTATTCTGTGACCCTGATGACGGCAACTTTACACTGACCTGAAGATTTCCACTATTGGACGGCGCAAATCACCCCACTAAACTCGCCTGACGGTATCGCAATCCATCTCGAACGCCCATTGGCTGATGCGACGATGGGCATGCGCAGATAAGTTTGCGGTCTACTCAAAATTAAAGGGTATTTTCACAGACGTGCTGTGTTTTGTACGAAGTTCGCTTGGATTTAACTGCAAATGAAACAGAAACTAGTGATTTTTGCCATCATTTTGGATTTATTCAGCTGAATATATTATTATCGACGGTAGGTAAACGTAGTTGGACGCTTTATTTCGATAGTTTGCAGTACTGACCGTAACGACACTACCGTATCATAGGTTGGTACTGTTGTTATACCTGTTATGCTAAGAAAATAACGTTAATTTTTCAGTACAGAAGTTATTATTTTATGCATGTATTAATATGCGTTTGCAGAAAAGGCACGTACGTAGTTAAGACACATAATTTATAAGTAATGCACGGTCCAGTGTATAACCTGTACTTCCGGTTTCCAGTAACACGTATTTTCTCGCATAACTGGCCAGGAATGAACAGCAAATGACGACAAATGTTGTCGGTATGTAAGAATATAATGATTTGTGTATTTCTATGAAAAACGGGAGATGTTAATATCATTTTGAATGACTATAATTGTCACTGTAAATCTGGTGTCATAATTTGCATACGATAGTAAACATACGCCCCACGTGACCCATATACTTGTCTGAGTTTTGAGCTTTTTACAATACGTGCAGACGCATAAAAACTGCGCACGATTATAAAAATATTCAAATATTAAAAATATCGCAATGCGATGTTTTTTTAATTAAATGTACAGTTTTTCTTGGTGGTGAACGATGGCCTTCATCCAGGATGACCAGTTGACACAGTTGAGTTGTTTACAATTCTTACTAATAAGAACAGTGCATTTTGTTGGGGGTTGTTGCATGTCTATTAGAGGGGCTACAACCAGATTCAGCGTAACTCAATATTGATACAGTAATTTTTCTTTAGTTACAGGGGAATCAGTATACACCCAAAGTTGAAGAATACGTCAGGATTTGGTATTACAGATTTAAACAAAAATACATAATGCTAACAAACAAGAGAACTGTTTCTACCAGCTTGTCAGTGAAAGAATATAATAAATGATGGCATTTTTGGGTGTTTACAGGATGTTCTGTTGGCGTAATCATAATGATGACAAGGTTTAACTGATAAAAAATAAAGTGAACAGTTTAGATCGCTAATGAGAATGTTAAAAACATGCGCATTAATCCTGTATAATACCTGTCTGCTAGTCGCATTAACAACAGATACATATATGCTCAAATCAAGCTAGCAGATAAGCTGTGGATGGAAAGCTGGATAATGCAGGAACCATCGCTACTTGCCATGGATTTATTACTACATGTAGAATTATAATTGGATTTACTAAACTGAACAGTAAGAAACGTTTGAAAGACTGTGAAGATTCAACACTTCCAGGGATACCTCATCTCAGTTGCCATGGATACTACTCTTCTTGGATAATCTCATCATTAAATTGTGCGTTGTTTTGGGAACTATCTCATGTACAATAAACGACAACTGCTTCTGTATGGAATGTAAAATGCTGCATGAGAAAAGAAGAAAAGATTTGACATGAAGTTTGAAACTGCAAAAAGATGCATCTATGCATGAATGGATATTATCATCTATTGTGATCTGTATTATCAACAAAAACAACAATAAATGGTGAGTTGTTTGATTGTTAAGGTCATCTGTAATAATTCATTTTTGAGCTGTAAAATATTGTTGATAAATGACTTTGATGAATGGATTTTATATTAATCCACTCAGAAATTTATTTACACCACTTAACATAGGTGATGTGAGTCATGACACTTTAAGTTATTTATAATATTATTATTTGATAACAACAGTGTCCAGCAGTGCACTAATAAAACTCTAGAAGTATGTAGCTCTTCACAGTGAGTGTCTGCTTCAGCTAACCAAACTATCTCACAAACTAGTAGATGTATTCTAGAATTCTGTGGGCAAGTGAGATTTTAAATAGTATTATTCAGTAGGGTGGCTTAATTTTTATATTGGTATGTCAGGATTTGGTGTTAATAACATAAATCGTGCTTGACATTCAGTTGCCATGACAACTCACTTGAATGATGCATACTTTAACAAACCTAATCCAATTCTTTTTCTCAAACTTTCTCAAACAAAACACTACTGAATGCTCGCTATAAAACTATTAAAAAAATTACATGTATGCTTTGAAATAAGTGTGCATCTACTTCAGGGTATAAAATATAATTTTTACCATCTTTTAATTTCATTGTTACATTTTGGGATATAATTTATATCATTAAAATTTAAATTTAAGAAACAAACTATATAGCTTTTAAATTCACAGATCATCTAGAGTTGAAAAGAATGTGTTTAGAAAAGTTACATAGAAATCAAGTTTATATTTACAATAAGCAGAATTGAGTGAATAGTTGATTCACTGTACTGCATGAAAAAATATACGGATTTTAATTCTGCCAATATAATCAGATTTTTTCACCACCCAAATTTGGGTAAATTTGTTCAGTTTTTGTAATTTTCACTGGATTTAATCTGAATTTTGAACCAAACAGACAAAATGTCAAGCTTTTGATAGAAAAATTTGAAATTTTCTGGACAATTTATGTGTAGTGAAAACGAGAAGACTATAAGTAGAACAATTTTGTGGATGGTGTCTGAAGTTGACCTCAAAGGGTGAATTAGTCTAATTGGCAATAACAGTGATGCAGTTTTGTATTTAAGTAACAGGAAAAATTATTGTAGGTCGTCCTAACAAAACTGGACATTTACTGTCTGTCCACATTTATGTACAAAATTTTGGTTTTGACTGCTAAAAGCAGAAAAAGTATTAATTTTCTCAAAGTAGGTGGTTGTTTTGAATGGCTACCAGCTGATATCTAAAGAACCTTGAGATGCTTCATATGCAAATTATGGAAAGTCTAATTTACATACAATGGGAATGACCTCAACCTGTTTTCTTGGGGTCTGCCTTTCACTTGTAAAATAAAATGAATGAATGGGCTGCATACAGAAATTGGAAAAACAAGTTACTTGAATATTTTAGTGAACAATCCTAAAACTTAAGTAGAATGGTGGTGTAACTAAGCAATTTAAAGTTACTTTTTCAGTTAATGCCTTTGTAATAGTTTCTCAATTTTTGTCTCAAAGAGAGGCTTTGAAAAAAGTGGTGGAAAAAACATCAACATCAGCTGAGTACCTACTAGAGAGAAAAAAAACAAAAAATTGCATGATGTTTGCCACATAATATAAAAGATTTGGGAAAAAGTGAACAACAAAACTTGAATTGCTTTAGCTCCAGACTTCAAAAGAAACTAACAAATTTAAGGATATATAGATAATAATAGTTATGGAAGACCTACAAACTAGTTTAGATTTGATATTTCTAAAAAAAAAAAAAAGTATGTTTTGTAAGTGAGTCTGTAGTGCCCCCGCTATTTTTTGAAACGTTGTGAAATTTGAAAAAATGGTATACAAATATAATAAGACTAAAATAGATATATTGAAATTTTGGTGAAATCATCTGTGTTGAGAGACTGTGGTAAAATTAAATCTGTCAATGCTTATGCATCAATAGATGGGTCAGGAAATTTTTTGGAAAGATGGATGAGGCTAAAGCCCTACAAACTGATTGAGGTTTGAGTGTTTTCTTTGAACTTTCAAATAGTCAAAAAGAATAATTCATCAAAATAGTGAAAATTTCCAATGTGAAATTGTGTTAACCATATCTATTCATAAAATAAAAGTATTAACAGCAAAAATTTATTTATTTATAACGTTCATGTTATATTCACCAAAAATAAGTAAATAAGGTCTGAAAAAATGCTAAAATAGTTATAGTGACTCCTAGCGGCAACAAACCTTTTGTCAGTAGCTAGATAATGAAGGTTGACCAGATAGTTTATTCAACCCACATGTGAAATAGAAAGGTCAATCAATATTCGTGTGTTTTAGTAGGTCTTTTATAATTATAATCTCCACTGATGTTGGCACAAATAATGTCAAAATTATGAAAGTTGGAAAGTGAATTATTAGTCAGTAAAAGTTGTATCAGTATTATTTGAATTAAATCACCCCCACCAATATTTGTGACACTGTAAAAGTTATCTGTGCTTGCGCTAAGGATAAAACAGTTGTCATCACAGTTGTTTTTCCAAGCTAAATTGTTAGGCCACTTTACAAATGGGGAGAAATGAACACCGAGGAATTTGAAAAGTGCTACTGTGGCATAACCTTTATATCAAGCAATTTATGTTTTCCAGATGTTTAATTTACATTTCTGTTTCAATCTGACCATTTTTAGCTCCGCTGTCGACTTTGAAAACTACAAGCCTGAATGCTTTGATACTTGGTGTATATGTACCTTGGGTAGACCTCTCTTAGGTTTGTTCATTTCATGTTGATATCTTCAATTCTCTAATTTTGGTGAATATTTTTGTCATTTTTGGTAAAAAGTGATATTTTCGACTTCTTGTTAAAAACCGTAAGTGCAATTGCTTTGATATTACATATATAGGTACTACATGTGGACCTCTCTCAGATTTGTTCATTTTGTAATGATATCTTTAATTCTCTAATTTTGGTGAATATTTTTATCATTTTTGGTAAAAAGTGATATTTTCGACATCTTGTTAAAAACCGCAAGTCCAATTGCTTTGATACTACATATATAGGTACTACATGTGAACCTCTCTCAGATTTGTTCATTTCGTGATGATATCTTCAATTCTCTAATTTTGGTGAATATTTTTGTAATTTT